CAACTAGTCAAATTCCTAAACACACTTCTAATAAAGATAGAACTATTTAAAAGATAAAATTTCCTAAACTTAATCTTAAACTTAAAAACTAATCAAAATAAAAGATTAAAATAAGGAAATAAATCCTAACCGCTTAAAACAAGAAAATCCCTTTCAAGTGAAAGGTAAAAACTTGTAAGCAAAATCTAAAATAACAATTAAGCTACTGAATTACGAAGGTTCCAAGAGAGGTAGGATTTTTTCACTATTATTTCATATCACCCAATAATGGGCCTCTAACTTGTTTAACCCAATACTCTTATGTGTGACCTTGTAGGATCCATTCTATAAGGCTTTGGGCCATTAAGATAGCCCAAAGATCAATTGTCATATCTAGCACCAAACATTGATGACCCTATAGAATGAATTTATTATCTCCATAATAGTGATCCTTGATATATCTAGTAATTGCACTTATCGAAGACATAACTCCTTCAATACCGTCCGAGAGTCCCATTGGGTGGGTGGAACCATCCAATTTTCATTTAAACGACCAATTTACCGGGTTACAACTTCCACCTATTTATTAATTAAGTCAAGCCTACCACGAACATTTATGACAACAAATAATGATCGTATATGGTTCCAAGCGGCATTATATGACCCCGAGATGTATCCCATAGAATTTTAAGACTTTTCGACACCGGGCCTTGAAACCTCGAAAATTTCTCAAAAGCGTGGATATTATTAGTCTTTAATTTTGGAATTTTTTGACTTTTTTTTCGCCTGGAAATAAAAATTACCGAAATGTTTACTATGGTCTCTTATATCCTCTGGGAGTCTAATAGGGTGGTTAGAACTATCCTATTTGCCTTTAAACGACCATTTTACCAGTTTATAACTTTGCACCGATTTAATTAACTCAAGCCTACCACGAACATTTATGCCATCAAATAATTATCATATATGATTTCAAACGACATTATATGACCCTTAGATGTATTCCCCTAGAATCTCGCAGGCTTTTCGATACCAGGCCCCGAAACCTCCAAAATTTCTCAAAAAGCGTGGATATTAGCCTTTATTTTTGGAATTTTTAGACTTTTTTCACCTGAAATAATAATTGTTGAAATGTTTACCATGATCCCTAATACCCTCGGGAGTTCAATTGGGTAGGTGGAACCATCCAATTTGCCTTTAAACGGTCTATTTACCGATTTATAACTTGCACTGATTTCATTAAATCAAGCCTACCACGAACATTTATGACAACATATAATGATCATATATGGTTCTAAACGTCATTATATGACCCCAGGATGTATTCCCTAACATCTCAAGGCTTTTCAACGCCGCGCCCGGAAACCTCCAAAATTTCTCAAAAAGCGTGGATATAAGCCTTCAATTTTGGAATTTTTTGACTTTTTTTCGCCAAAAATAAAAATTGTAGAAATTTTTACCATGGTCCCTAATACCCTCTTGAAGTCCAATTGGGTGGGTTGAACTATCCAATTTTCCTTTAAACGACCAATTTACGAATTTACAACTTGTACCAATTTCATTAAATCAAGCCTACCACGAACATTTATGACAATATATAATGATCATAAATGGCTCCAAACGACATTATATGACCCCGAGATGTATCCCCTAGGATTTCAAGACTTTTCGACACCAGGCTCGAATCCTCCAAAATTTTTCAAAAAGCGTGGATATTTAATTTTGTAATTTTGACTTTTTTTTACCCGAAAATAAAAATTGCCAAAATGTTTACCATGATCCCTAATACCGTCCGAAATTCCCATTGAGTAGGTGGAACCATCCAATTTGCATTTAAATGACCAATTTACTGGTTTACAACTTGCACTGATTTCATTAGCTCAAGCCTACCACGAACTTTTATGACAACAAATAGTGATCATATATGGTTCCAAACGGCATTATATGACCCCGAGATGTATCCTCTAGAATTTCAAGACTTTTCGACACTGGGCCCCGAAACCTCGAAAATTTCTCAAAGTGGATATTAGTATTCAATTTTGGAATTTTTTTACTTTTCTTCGCCCGAAAATAAAAATTGCCGAAATATTTACCATGGTCTCTAATACATTCCGGGAGTCCAGTTGAGTGTGTGGAACCATCCAATTTGTTGTTAAACGACCAATTTACCGGTTTACAACTTGTAGTGATTTCATCAATTCAAACCTACCACGAACATTTATGACAACAAATAATGATCATATATGGTTCCAAATGAAATTATATGACCTTGAGATGTATCCCATAAAATTTCAAGACTTTTTGATATCGGGTCCCGAAACCTCCAAAATTTCTCAAAAAGTGTGGATATTAGCCTTTAATTTTGGAATTTTTTTGACTTTTTTTTTTGCCCGGAAATAAAAATTGCCGAAATAATTACCATGGTCCTTAATATCCTACGGGAGTCCAATTGGGTGTGTGGAACCATCTAATTTGCTGTTAAACGATCAATTTACCGGTTTACAACTTGCACCGAGTTACCGGTTTACAACGACCAATTTAATTGACTTGCACCGAATTCGACTTGAACCGAAATTGAACCAAACCCGTAATAACCCGTCAAAACTCGAATTTAACCCGTCTTGTTACTAACCTAACCTGAATTCAACCCGACTCGTTCTTAACCCGACCCAAATTTAACTCAACCCGTTACAACGCGACTCGAAATCAACCCGACTTGTTATTGACCTGACCCAAATTCAACCTGACTTGTTATTGACCCGATCCAAATTTTACTAGACCTATTACTTACCCAACCCAAAAATTCAACCCGATCTGTTACTAACCCAACTCGAAATCAAAACGACTTGTTATTGACCCGACCTAAATTCAACCAAAATTGTTCCTGACCCGATTTCAAATCACGTTAAATGCAATTTAGATCACCTTATTATTGTTGATCAAAGCATTTTGTCTAGGGGAGACCAAGTCGGTCCAAGCCAGCAAAAGAAAGGAGCATCATCCTCAAATTTAAGAGTTAAATATAGTATATATTTGTTGTATGGTCAAAGGAGATAATTATCTTCCTAAATTATAGACTATAGTTCCTTAGTATATTGTCATATATATTATAGTCAAAGGAAATAATTAGTTTGATAAAATTGATAATTATCTATTTATAATTAGTTGAACCCGAATACGACCTGACTTGGAAATGACCCGACCTGATTATAACATGGAAATTATTGACTTGAACATAACCCTACTTGAATCCGAGAATGACCCGACTTGAAAATGACCCAACCTGATTATAACCCGTAAATTATTGACTTGAACCGAACCCGACTTGAACCCGAGAATGACCCGACTTGAAAATGACCCGACTTGATTATAATCTGCAAATTATTAACTTAAACCATACCCGACTCAAACCCGAGAATGTCCCGACCTGATTCTAACCCGCAAATTATTGACTTGAACCCGAGAATGACCCGACTTGAACCCGAGAATGACCCGACTTGAAAATGACCCGACCTGATTATAATCTGCAAATTATTAACTTAAACCATACCCGGCTCAAACCCGAGAATGTCCCGACCTGATTCTAACCCGCAAATTATTGACTTGAACCGAACCCGAGAATTAACCTAACCCGTTTTAACTAGTGAAAATCCGAATTAAACTCGGCATGTTGTTCACCCGACCCGAATGTAACCCGACTTGATATTAACCCGACCCAAACCCGATAAGAAGTATGACCCGACGTGACCCGACTCAAGCATGACCCAATCCAAACCCAACCCGCATAGGTTATGGAATTAATCCGAATTGACTCGATCCGAGTCGACCCAGCCCGCTCTTTTCCGACCCAAACCCGAACCGTTTACCTGAATTGACAGTTCTATATCCAATTATCCGCTGATATATCTGTTGGCGGTAAAACGAATATATCTGATTAAATTTGAAGGGTCTTTTTTTTCATTTTATCCAAAGATTAATTTCTACCTTTCTTTGATTCTGGAAAAGATTAATGTCTACCTCCTAATTAATGTAGTGGACAGATTTTTTTTTTTTGTTTTATTTAACCATCTAATTAATTAATTGAATTTAATTTATTAATGTATTAGTCAGATATTCAATTTTTTTGAGGAAAAATTTCAAAGTATAAGGGCCTGTTCTCTTCCGTTGAAATTCAGTTCAGTTCAATTCAGTTCAGCTCTGCTCAGCTCAGCTCAGCTCAGTTCAGTTCAGCTCAGCTCAGCTCAGTTCAGTTCAATTCAGTTCAGCTCTTAATTTACGTCTAATGATATTGCTAATGATATAAAACCAAATTTTATTCTTTTAAGCTCTTATTACAACAACGACAACAACAACAACAACAACAACAATAACAACAACAACAACAACAACAACAACAATAATAATAATAATAATAATAATATAATCAATAAGTAATAAATAATAATAATAATAATAATCATCAATAAATATTAATAATAATAATAATTATTATTATCAATAAATAATAATAATAATAATCATCAATAATAATAATAATAATAATAATAATTATTATTATTATTATGTACATTTGTATATACACATATGTATAGTAATAAATAATCAATAAATAATCAAAGATCACTAATTCGTAGTTAAAAATCACTAATTAATAAGTTCAGTTCAGTTCAGTTCAGTTCAGCTCAGTTCAGCTGAGTTCAGTCAATCGGAACAGGCCCTAACTTTTAAGTGTATTCGATGTTAAAATATCTTAAAAAAATAGAAATAAATAAAAAAAATAAAATTACAACTGTTTATTTGTCAATTCAGATAACAACAATAAATGATAAATGTGGTAAATAATAAGTTCTCAAATGTGCACCAATACTCTTATAGGGTTATATACATTTTTTTTTAATTATCTTGTGTAGTAATTATCCGGGATTTTTTCAATGATTAAGAAAATATAAATAGAGTTACATATATATAAAGTACTATAATTATATCTTTAAATCAGCTAAAAATTATTTTAATAAGGAGTGGTAAATATGGGGGAAGAAGATGACGTAATTGCCTCACACTCTCAACTTCATGTTAAACCCTTCTCCGATCTTGTTTCAGGTTTTGTTTCTCAACTATATATTTATAATTCTTTTGTTTCTATGTGTTATTCTATGATGATATTATTATGTATTTACGTAGTACTGTACTAATTTATTAGGGACTTTTGTTTTTAATAAGTGACACTTTTTTTTTGGTGTATTTCTTTAGGCCTGTTTTTTTCAAAAGTATTGTTTAATGAAGTTATAATTTACATTGATCATCAAATGAGCATAAATTTTAATTTCGGCTTATTTTGAGTTAATCTTATTCTCCATTTCTCCTTATGCGTTGTTTACAAAGGTGATTGTATCATTTAACGCAGAAATAAGATGATTCTATAGTGGCTGGCAGTTTTGGTACTAAATCACAACAATACGAGTTCATATGAAAAATTATACTTAAAATTACTAGGTTAAAACCAATGTATAATGCCTGAATAGTAAAGATATTCTAAAATCGTTTTAATTTAAGGATGTATGACGAGAAAAACACGCAATCGGTGTAATCAAGCTTATCTATTCCAAATCTTTTTTAGCATTTACCTACATTAGGATATGGGATGGGGCTGTATATGTTGTGGTCAAATTTCGAAAAACGGATAAATTTTTGTATATGCATTCTAGCTCAATTAGGTAATGTATTATTTTTGAATGTATGGCTTTAAAAACATGTATGAGTACTCTAATATGGGTTATATACATTTTGGTCAAACAACAAGATATCAAATGCTAAAAAAAAACATGCATCAATAAAAAATGTGGGTTACATACATTTTTCTATCTTGTGCTGTAATTGGTAAATATAGATTGGTTACAAATTTTTTAATACTACGTATATTTAAATCAGCTAATTAGTAGTATAGAGTTTTATTACGGATTAATCAGGAGTTTAGAGAGAAAATATGGGGGAAGAACACTCTCATTCTCATGATAAACCTTTCTCTGATCCTGTTTCTGGTATTATTTTTAGGAAAATTTGTTAGAAACTACCTTATAAATGACATTTTTTGTCAGAAACTACCTTATAATTTTTTTTTTTTGTGAGAACATACCATTTTAACAAAAATTTTTGCAAGAACATACCAGTCACCGGATTTTCAAGTTTGACCTCAAAAACACGGCGTTGACCAGTCATGTGTCGGGCACGTGACTTCATTAAACCCATTTCTTTTCTCTTTTCCTATTCTTTTCCCTCATCTTTCTCACGACTTAATAAGATGCTTGGTTCCCCCATATTTTCTTTTCTTCTTCAATCTTCTCAATTTCCTCACAAAGCCTTGTTCACCTGTGCGAATTGGCCACAAGTATTAACATACAGAAATCCCCAATTAGACCCTAATATAGTTAATTAGTTACACATTTATCAACCAACAACTACACTTACATTTTCAAAAACCAAAGTAACATACATACTCGAATAACCTGATATTTAGACTTGTTGTTTGTAATTTCTACAAAGATACAATTTCTGGAAGAAAGTTTAAGGTGAATGCTTTATTAAGAGGAGAGATAAATTGAGGAGAGAGAAGAAATTGGGTATCATAAAGGGGTAAGTCGTGAGAAAGATGAGGGAAAAAAATAGGAAAAGAGAAAAGAAATGGGTTTAATGAAGTCACGTGTCCGGCACATGACTGTTCAACGCCGTGTTTTTGAGGTCAACTTGAAAATCCGGTGACTGGTATGTCCTTGCAAAAAATGTTGTTAAAATGGTATGTTCTCACAAAAAAAAATTTATAAGGTAGTTTCTGACAAAAAAAAGTCATTTATAAGGTAATTTCTGACAAAAAAAGTCATTTATAAGGTAGTTTCTAACAAATTTTCCCTTATTGTTATACCATTAATTTTTACTTCTTCATGTTTTTCTATGATGTTATTAGAGATTAAATATCTTTTATGTTTTTCATATGATAATACTATTAAGGATTATACAGTATGTGTTTAATATTTTTAATTAGTGTTTAAAAAAGTTATGATTGTTAGAGATTATAAGTGCTCAAAGTTTTTCACATGACAATATTATTAAGGATATGCGTTTAATATTTTCTTTTTATTCAACCCAATATATAAAAAAGCAAGTATCTGAACATTTTAACCAACAAAGCTAGTTATCGACTGATATGGTTGTTATCAATCGAATGTTGTAGGAGAAGAAATCAATGACAGCCCGATAGAAGAGGTGAGGCTAACAGTCCCAATAACAGACGATACAACATTACCATGCTTAACATTCAGAACATGGGTACTTGGTATAGCCTCCTGCATCATCCTGTCATACGCGAACAAATTCTTCGGCTTCAGGGCAAATCCTCTATTTGTATCTTCAGTCACAGCTCAAATTGCCGTGGTACCAATAGGGAAATTAATGGCTGCAACATTACCTACAAGACAATACACCGTACCCTTCACAAGTTGGTCTTTTACGTTAAACCCGGGCCCTTTTAACCTAAAAGAAAATGTGTTGATAACTATGTTTGCGAGTTGTGGTTCTGGTGGTGTTTATGCTGATCATATCATCATTTCCGTTAAAGCTTATTATCATCAAGGTTTAAAGTTCGCTGCTGCCTTTTTCCTTGTTCTAACTGTTTGGGTCCAATTTAGTCCAATTGGGCCTAGGCATTAAATGATCCAATTAAAAGCCCAAGGTCAAGGTTCAACTCTCCAATTGTGCTAAAGTCAAAGGTTAGCCCTCAAAGCAAGCCAATTGGGCTAAAGCCCAACCTCTCCATGTATGAAGAGGTATAAAAGCCACCAATATTCATACATTCAGGTATTGATTCATTAATTCACAGATTCACATATTATTCATACATTCTCATATATTCTCATATATTCAAGCAAAGCCTCAAGCATCTAATTCTCTTGCATAGTGTTCTCTTTCTACACATTGTACTGACTTTAGCATCGGAGGGGCCTTCCTCGGCAACACCCCCGAGGCTAGTTTACGTGTGTTTACTGTGCAGGAAACCTTCGGCCCAACATAACTTGGACCGAATCCAGTCTTCTCCGTTTCAGCGGACCTTCGGCAAGGTCCCATTGTTTTCACCCGAAACAATTTGGCGCCGTCTGTGGGGAAGATTTTTAAAAATCTTTAAGCCAAATTTCTAACCGAGATCATCTTGCAATTATCTTAGTAGCAATGGCTAAGAACCGCATGAGCAAAAGCCTCCGTCAAGGAGCGGGCGAAAAGCCTAAAACCCCTACACCATCACCCTCGCCGGACCGGAACTCTCCCAAGGGTGCCAGCTCGGGGGGAGGATCATACAAGGAGGATTCCCTTTCTCCCGTAATTCATGACTCTCATTATAGGCCGAGTCACTCTCGGTCTAGCAGGGGTGAGTCCGATCATAGGACACATTCAGTGCCCCAAAGCCAACCATCGGCTGCGCGCCCTCATTCCCATACTCGGCCGAGGACCCCTTTGACGGGGCCCATCTCGGAAGAGGTGGCGAGAGCGCTGGCAGTGCTCATGGAGGCGATGAGGGCACAAAATATGCCACCACCTCGTGATCGAACTCCTCCGCATACCCGGCATCAGCGGAGGAAGTTAGACCATGATGGTGGGAAGCTTCCTTCCTTCCGGGAACTGGAAGAGTGGGAAGAGGATTCCTGGAAAAATGAAAAAGAGAGGAAAAAGAACCCTCAATTTTTAAAAGGATCCTCATCCTCAAGACCAGAAGCGCATAAGAGCAGCAGCTCAGCTTCTCGGCCAGAATCTACTCACCGAGAACCTGAGACTGTTCGCCGAAGCGTCCTTGACCGACTCGGCGGCAAGGAACCGAGCGTGCGCAGTCGCCTCTCGTTCCCTGCAGCCGAGGCCCAGACTTCCCAGCCAGGGACGAAAACCACTCCTACCTCTCTAAGAGGGCGGAGCGCGGTCCCTTCGGCCAGGAACAAGGGCAAGGCCGTTATGCTACCCGCCAGTTCACCATTCGAGCAATGGATACTGGAAGAGCGCGTACCCACGGTTAAAATACCGTCGCACATCACATATGACGGGACCTCGGATCCGAAGGATCACGTGGCCTCGTATGAGACTCATATGCATCTTTGCCCCAAATCCGAGGCGACTTGGTGCAAATATTTCCCAACCACTCTCAAGGGGGTCGCGCAATCGTGGATCTCCAAGGGAGTAAGGCAAGGCTCCATAACAGGGTGGGATGATCTGTCCTCCAAGTTCAGGAGCAAGTTTTCCACGGCAAACCGTCGAGAGAAGACTACTGCAGAGCTCATGAGTCTACAACAGGGGGAAACCGAAAGCCTCCGAGACTATCTGACCCGTTTCAGTAACGAGTCATCCAGCGTCTCTCAGCTGGACCAGGGGCTAGCAGTTTTTGCAATGCAGAATGGCCTTCAGCCCAGAAAGTTCCTAGACTTCATGGTCATGCATACCCCGCAGACCTTGGAGGAAGCTCTGAATGCCTCGGATAAGTTCATCCGAGCCGAAGAATGGAACAAAGCGAAAACCCAACCTCAATTTGGGGGAGGGAAACAAAGGCAAATACCCTTTTCTGAAGGCCAAGGCCATAAGGCAAAGGGAAAGTCAAAGGCCTCGGAGCAATCTTTGGCCAGCGACCCAAAGAAGGAAAGATATGCCTCATACACAGGCAGATACGAGTCCTACACTCCGCTCTCTCTTCCACGCGCCAAAATTTACAGCGTGACGAAGGAGGAGCAGAGTTACCGAAAGCCGAGACCACTCCCAGAGTGGTATCAGCGAAAAAATAAAAATCAGTGGTGCGAGTTCCACGAGTCTTCGGGACACAACACTGAGGAGTGTATCCAACTGAAGGACCAGATAGAGGACATGGTCCGGAAGGGATACTTGAAAAAATACATCGCGGATCACCGCGAGAAAAAAGAATCCGAGAAGTCAGCAAAGGACTCTCGGCAAGACCTCGACTTCCCCCGGAAAAACAGTAAAAAGCCGGAGGGGAAATTCCCTCCGATCAATGTTATCTCGGGAGGAATATACTCTCGGAGGGAGCACAAGCGACACCTTAGAGCTTTGACTCACCAGGTGAACAACGCTGACAATCAATCTCCCCAGTCGCCGGTGCCGAACATGACGTTCACAGCCGCCGACTGCCGGGGGATTACGTTCCCTCACGAGGATCCGTTGGTGATCATCGCCACGGTGGCCAACCACGACGTCAGTAAGGTCCTTGTTGACGGTGGCAGCGGAGCAAACATTCTGTTCCGAAAGGCCTACAATCAAATCAAGTTGAAGCCCAAGCATCTTACGCCGGTACCCTACCCGGTATCCGGGTTCAACGGGGCTTCAACTTATCCAGATAGGAAGGTGACACTTCCTGTCACCATCGGCTGCGATGAGGCAGCCAGGAACGTCATGATTGAATTTTTGGTAATTGACGCTCCTTCAGTGTACAACGTGATTTTGGGGAGACCTATAATTCACGAGATCCAAGGGGTCGTCTCAACTTATCATCAGCTGATGATTTACGTCTCAGACGCCGGCTTCCCCGAAAGGATACAGGGCAACCAAAAGGACGACCGAAGGTGCAACTACCTCAAACCATCCAATAGTCGCCCAGATGACAAGGATGAGGAGGAAAAAGAAAAAGAAAGAGAGCCGAGCACAAAAAAGCCGAAAGGCCTAAGTGCTTCGGCCCAAGGATCTGTACCCAGAGGTAAAGGGCCCGAAAGGGAAAAGGCTAGCTCTTCAGCTGAGCCGCAAGACTCAGAGAGCCAGCCGAAGAACAAAAAGACTGGGACACCTGCTGACATTGGCAGCAGGCCAGATTATGAAGAGTCCAGTCCATCAGCAATGGACATGGACCAACAGACTGAAACAGTTGAGTTGGCCGAAGGAGACGTTGAGAAATGTGTAACAATCGGGATGGACCTTGATCCGAACACCCGTTGTGAACTTATTCAGCTCCTTCGGGACAACAGAGATGTGTTTGCTTTCTCGGCAGCTGATATGCCCGGGATAAGTTCAGACCTCATCTCCCATAAGCTTAATGTTGACCCGACGTGTCGACCAGTTAAGCAAAAGAAGCGGAATTACTCCGCCAATAAGAACCGAGACATCGCAGCCGAGGTCAAAAAATTGTTGGAGGCAGGATTCATCGAACCTTGCCAATATCCAGAATGGCTGGCAAATGTGGTGATGGTTCAGAAGCCCAATGGTACCTGGAGGATGTGCGTTGACTTCACGGACCTAAATAAGGCTTGTCCAAAGGATTTCTACCCCTTGCCGAGGATCGATCAGCTAGTCGATTCGACAAGTGGCCATGCCTTGCTTAGTTTCATGGACGCATTCTCGGGGTATCATCAGATCTTTATGCACCCCGACGATCGAGCAAAGACAGCATTCGTCACGAACGCTGGGGTGTACAATTACAAAATGATGCCCTTCGGATTGAAAAATGCGGGGGCAACCTATCAAAGGCTGGTGGATCAAGTTTTTGCCGATCAAAAGGGCCGAAACATGGAAGTCTATGTTGACGATTCGATCGTCAAAAGCAAAAAACCAGAGGACCATGTAAAGGACCTGGCTGAAACTTTCGCCACCTTGAGAAAGCATCAAATGAAGCTGAATCCGAAGAAGTGTGTCTTCGGCGTGAATTCAGGGAAATTCCTTGGGTTCATAGTCAGCAAAAGGGGGATTGATGCCAATCCCTCTAAAGTCAAAGCGGCGCTCGACCTTCCTGAGCCGAAAACGAAGCGGGATGTTCAGCGGCTCACCGGAAGAATGACAACCCTCTCGAGGTTCATTTCCAGAGCTTCGGATAAGGGGTTACCTTTCTTCAAAGCCCTGAAACTCCCGAAAACAAAAGAGCTCGTTTGGGAGGAAGAGCAAAAAGATGCCTTTAAACAGCTTCGGGAGCATCTGGCTCAACTCCCAACGCTGGCTAGCCCAGCTGAAGGAGAAACTTTGTACCTATATGTGGCCGTTAGCCCAGCCACCATCAGTGCAGTATTGCTGAAGGAAGAAAGTAAAAGTCAGCAACCGATCTACTTCGTCAGTCATACACTGACGGATGCCGAGACTCGCTATCCTCTACTAGAGAAAGTCGCTTTCGCGGTAGTAGTAGCTGCTCGGAAGCTGAGGCCTTATTTTGATTGCCATCAGATAGTGGTCTTAACTGATCAGCCGTTGGAAAAAGTTCTCGGCAAGGTTGAAAAATCTGGTAGGCTAGCCAAGTGGGCTTTTGAGCTCACCGAATTCAGCATCAACTACCGTCCGAGGGCTGCCATTAAGGCTCAAGCTCTAGCGGATTTCTTGGCCGAATGCTCATACCAAGAAGCGCTAGACAGTGAAAAGAAAGTTTGGACCGTGTTTACGGATGGATCTTCCACCGAAAACGGTTCGGGGGCAGGAGTAGTGATAACTTCTCCCGAAGGCAAATCCTTTGAGTATGCACTAAAGTTTTCTTTTAAGGCCTCGAACAATGAAGCCGAGTATGAGGCAGCAATCGCCGGCCTAGAATGGTGCATCTCCCTGGAAGCCGATCATGTCTGCCTAAAAACAGACTCTCAGCTAGTTGCATATCAGATCAGTGGCAGCTACGAGGCCAAAGAGCCCTCCATGATAGCTTATCTTGCCAAGATCAAATCAGTCATTGCAGAGCTGAAAACTTTTGAGGTTCAGCTGATCCCAAGGGGTCAGAATACTCAAGCCAATGCACTCTCCAAACTTGCCAGTTCATCTCTTACTGAGCTGAACAGATCTGTATATGTAGAAGTGCGTCGAGAGAGAAGTGTCGACGAAGCACCTGAAGTGTGCTGCGCTGACCCAGAGCCTAGTTGGATGGACCCCATCCTAGCTTTCAAGCTTCGGGGAGAAACTCCCGAAGATAAAGCTTTGGCCTCCAAGATGAAGAGAACCAGCTCTAGGTTCATTGTCTTCAGGGGGGAACTTCTGAAAAAGTCCTTCTCAGCCCCATTGCTGAAATGCGTGGGACCAACAGATGCAGATTATATCCTACGGGAGATTCACCTCGGCATCTGTGGGAACCACATTGGGGGAAGAACCTTAGCCCACAAGGCATTGAGGGCTGGATATTACTGGCCCACCATGATCGCAGATGCTAAGGAGCTGGTTCGGAAATGCGAAAAATGTCAAAAATACGCTCCAGTTATCCATCAGCCAGCAAGGGATCTTCAGCCGATCCTTAATCCACTCCCGTTTGCCCAATGAGGACTGGATATACTGGGACCATTTCCAGAGGCTGTGTACCAGAAAAAATGGCTGATAGTTGGTGTCGACTACTTCAGTAAATTGATCGAGGCCGAAGCAGCCTCGAACATTACAGAGCAAACTGTCAGAAAATTTATCTGGCAGAATATCATCACTCGATTTGGCATCCCGAGAGTATTTGTCTTCGATCATGGGAGGCAATTTGATAACTTACTGCTGAAGCGGTATACAGATCAGTTCGGCATCAAACTGGCATATTCAGCGGTATGCCACCCGCAAAGTAACGGACAAGCCGAAGCTGCAAATAAACAGATCTTAAATGCCCTCAAGAAGAGGGTGGAAGATCAAAAGTCCAAGTGGCTGGAGGAGCTCCCTGGAACCCTTTGGTCCCTTCGGACAACTGAAAAAGAGGCAACGGGCCACTCACCTTTTGAACTGGTGTATGGTGCCGAAGCCGTCCTTCCAGTGGAAATTGGCTTTGAGAGCCTTCGAGTGCACCACTTCTCGGCTGAGAATGAGCGACTGATGAGGGAATCTCTCGATTTCCTCGACGAAGTAAGAGACTCAGCCCGAGACAGAATGGCCGCCTATAAGCAGAGAATCAGCAAATTTTATAACCGAAGGGTCCATGCAAGGCCTCTCAAAATTGGAGACCTTGTCCTTCGGAATGCTGCTGCAGTTCAGAAAAGCCGAATCCATGGGAAACTCTCAGCTGCATGGGAAGGACCTTATGAAATCTATGATGAGCTTCAGCCAGGGACATACCGACTTCGGCAGTTGGATGGAACTGAGTTGAAAAATCACTGGAACGCTGATGTACTGAAAAAATATCATGTGTAAACCCTTCGGGGCAGAACAATCTTTGTAAGTACATTTTGAACTAATAAAAGGCCTTGGAGCCGCCATTTATATAAATGTTTACAACTTTTTATCCTTTCAAAATTTTCTTTGTTCTATCTACTCTTTAAGGGTTTTTTATTCAGCCTCGTCTGAAACCTTCGCCTTCGGGTAACTGGGTTTCAGATTGCTGACAAAACTCGTCTTTTTAAAGAACACTGGTCTTTCAGCTGAAGTCAAACTTCAGTAAGACTTGTTCTCCAAAGACATGAGTCCATGGACAATTCTGGGATATTGCCTTAACTGAGCCTTGTATCCCAGAGAGCCATTATCCGAAACATTGCCTTAAGTTGGCCCTGTGTTTCGGGTATCCATTTTTCAAAGATAGACAAAAAATCAAGGATAACAGCAACAATTGAAAATTGTTTAATCAGCCTCGTCTAAAACCTTCGCTTTCGGGTAACTGGGTTTCAGATTGCTGACAAAACTCGTCTTTTTAAAGAACACTGGTCTTTCAGCTGAAGTCTAACTTCAGTAAGACTTGTTCTCCAAAGATGAGTCCATGGACAATTCTGGGATATTGCCTTAACTGAGCCTTGTATCCCAGAAAGTCATTATCCGAAACATTGCCTTCAGTTGGCCCTGCGTTTCGGATATCCGTCTTTTTAAAGAACACTGGCCTTTCAGCTGAAATCCAACTTCAGTAAGACTTGTTCTCCAAAGACATGAGTCCATGGACAATTCTGGGATATTGCCTTAATTGAGCCTTGTATCCCAGAAAGCCATTATCCGAAGCATTGCCTTCAGTTGGCCCTGTGTTTCGGATATGCGACTTTTAAAGAACACAGGTCTTTCGGCTGAAGTCCAACTTCAGTAAGATTTGCTCTCCAAAGTCATGAGTCCATGGACAATTCTGGGATATTGCCTTAACTGAGCCTTGTATCCCAGAAAGCTATTATCCGAAGCATTGCCTTCAGTTGGCCCTGTGTTTCAGCTGAAGTCAATCTTCAGTAATACTTGTATTCCAGAAGCACTGCCTTCAGTTGGCCCTGTGTTTCGGATTCCCATTTTAAAGAAGTGAAGAAATTGTTTATTCAGCTGAAGCCATACTTCAATTTCTGGGAGGGCAAGAAGCACTATCAGTGCAAGTTTATGTTCGGCAGAATGAAAGAAACAGTAAAGCATTCAAAAACAAAGCAGCTGAAGAAAAGAGCATCAAATTAATAATTTATGCTCAGAAATTGAGCTACAAGTTCAATTAAACTGTATCGGCAGCCGCCCACAAGCGGAAAATAACAGCTGCCGAAATACGTACATAAGCAAAAAAATAAACTGTTGTACGACAAGGCAAGCTGAAGCAAAAAAAAACAAGGCAAAAAATTCAGAAAGCGGCAAGTCTAAAGTTAAGCGCATGATGAACCGCAAGATTCTGAAGACGACTGCCCGAGTTCCTATGCTTCAGCCCGAGGATCAGACTGATCAGCGTTGTTGAGCCCCATGGTGGCCTCAGCCCCAGCAGCAGAAGAAGCAGGCTTTGCACTCTGCCGAGCCTCCCTTTCCCTCTGTTCAGCCTCCAACTCCATTCTCTCAGCTTCCTCTTCGGCTTCCTCAGCCTTAAGAATTTCAGCTTCGACTGGAGTTGCATACTTCATATGAGGGTCTTCGGGATTCTGGACCCATTCAGCACATTTGGACCAGTCCAGCTTCGGCTCAGCATGAAGGCAGACTCTTCGGCATACTCTGAACCCGTTTCTGAAACCCATTTCATATTCTTCCTGGGTATAGACACGGACTTTGAGTAGAGCCTCAGCATCAGCCAGCTTCTTCTGGGTCTCCTCCAAGTCTTCCTTGGATTTCTTCAGCTCATCGGCGAGCTTGGAGGAGGAACCTTTCAGCTCATTCAGCTCCTGCTGAACTTGGGAAGCCTTTGTCTGAGCCTGGGCCACTTCAACTTTTTTGGCCATCAGTTGATCCTCAGCCTCATGGAGTTTAGCTCTCTAAGCTTCAGCAGCAGCAGCAGCCTCTGAGAGTTGGACATCCCTGGCCTGGAGCAGCTCTTCAGCAGCCATTCGGCTGGCTTCAAGAGCTTCTAGTCGTTGCTGCACTTCAGCTTGTGCAGCAGCTCCTTCCTGAATACGGCTCTCAACGGCAGCCTTGAATTTGGAGACGTCCACTCCCATGTGCTCCTGGAGGAATTTTTCCCCTTCCATCAGTGGGGGAAAAACTTCCTTCTCCATAGCGTCGCAGAAAGTTTTGAGGGCTTCAGCAGCTTTTTTCTCGTACTCCTCACCCTTCTGTTGCTTCTCTTCAGCTGCTGCTTGCTTCAGCTTAGCAAGCTTTAATTCATCCTCAGCTACCTTCTTGTCGTGCTCGGCAGCATCTACCCTATCTTGTAGGGTATCTATCAGCTCTACAGTGAGAGTCTGATTGTGCACGAACTGAAAACAGGAGCACGAGTGTTAAAAAAATAAAAGTAAATAAAAATAGAGCTGAATTTTAGAGGAAATAAAGGCAAGGAAAATCACCTGCATCATCAGCAGTTGGTTAGACCTGGCTGGGTCAGGAACTGATCTGCTGGATTCGCCCATCCCAGCAGTGGCCTTCAGCGACCAGATTCTTGCCCTATCTACTTCGGACATGCCAGCAAAATCGTCGAAGTAGGCTGCAGCACCTTCACGGTTCTGACCCCATATGAGGTCCCAGATGTGATATGGGATTGGAATTCGGGGGGCCGAGAAACCCATTTCTCCAGATTGCAGAGTCTGGAAAGAAGGAAAGGATGACGATGGAGCTTCTTTAGCTTTGGATGGCTCAGCATCATCCTTCTCAGAAGAGTCAATTACTATGACCTCTTCTTCTTCAGGGGTGAGGACGAAAGCCTCAACCTCTCTTGCAATGTCTGCCGTGAAACCCTCAGCACTGGGCATCACGGCATCCTTATTTTTGTGCTCAACAGCACTCTCCTGAATTTCTTCTTGGACCCCTCCCTTAGATTCGGGAGTTCTCTGATCCACCTCCATCTCAAGAGGTGGCGGAGGGGTCTTTTGAGGTGATTGGGGTGGTGGCCGGGGAACCCTCGGCGATCCATTGCCTTCCTCGGGTTCCCTTATTTCAACGCCGATGGTCATCGGCCTCCGCTGAAAGTCGTGAGGGTCGATGATGGCCATTCTTCGGCGCCTTTTCTGAAGAGGCTGCTCGTCCATGTCTGAGTCTGAAGACTCTTCTTGTATTTGGTCTTCGGGACGAACAGGGGCTTTCCCTTCTCTGTGTCTGTTACTCTCTTCAGACTGTAACAGACAGGGGGGAGGAAGAATGTGAGTAAAAAAAAAAAAAAAAAAGCAGAAAGACAAAGTTAAGTCTGAAAGCTCACCGAGGTCTTCAGCAAAGCCTCGTCTTCTTCAGCTGCCCTAGCTGCAGCTTCTTCTTCAGCAGCTCTGGAGGACCCTTCTCCTCCTTCGCAAGCTTCGAGAACCCGTGCAACCTCTTCGGCTGTACGGGCAGCTTCAGCTTCTTCGTCCAGCAGCTGAAACCAGGGGTCTCTCTTCTTCCACCAAGGCTACTGCCTCTGATACAGAGCAACAACCTCAATTTGGAAGTGGGAAGAGTCTAGATGAACTTCCCTATGCCTCGGTTCAGTGATAGACGGGGCCCGATCAGTTACAACTCGTTCTCGGTTGACACCAAGACGAGCGTAGTTAATGCCAACGTTGGTCTCGTCCCGCTCTGAAAAAGAAAAGGGGAAAGGTCAGTTCAGATAGGTTGGCACAGCATAAAAAAAGCGAAGTGAGAGAAGAAAAAGAGATAATTAAAAAGCCTCGGCCCCAGCCGAAGAAGCTTACCATCCTTAAAATTTCGGCTGAGGCCAACAACTGCTAGCATGTTCTCTTGGAAAACATAATGCGTATCGGGGAGCCAAGTCTCCGGGATATGCTGCATTCGGCCGCTGCCCCCCCGGTTCGGCAGCTTGCCGAAGATATGTTGTTGATCAAGGTTCGGATCCGGCCCGTTATCTGCGGGGGGACCTAGACTTCCCATGTCGGGATCAGGCTCAGCAAGGTACCGGGGAGCGCTGAAGACGCAAGGGTGGCCCGGATCTGTGGGTGCCCTAACCCAAATCCATTGACCTCTCCAGTCCTTGTCTGAAGAGTCGTTCGGCCACATGGTTAGGTACTGGGGCCGGGACTCAATCCGGTACCACCCAGAACCATGGCTTCCGTGCCCACTTTGAATATTTGGCACTAGCCGATGAAGCTTTTTGAAGCAGTGCAGGTTCGGCACATACTTGAAGAACTTGCAGACCCATAAAGTATGTCATCACCCTTCGGATGCTGGTGGGAGTTAACTGACATAAGGAGATATTGTAATGGATCAGCAAGTCTCGGACGAATACGTCCAAAGGGAACCTCAGCCCGTACTGAAGCTGTCTTGTGTACACCCCCACATACCCCGGGGGTGGACGATGGATTCTATCGGATGCCGCGGGCATTCGGCACCAATACCCATCAGCTTCAAAAATGCCGTAATGCAACTCAATTTGCTCGGAAAACCGATATTGTTCGGCATTCTCCACCCACCATGAGTAGGGGCGGTTCTTTATCATGGCCGAAGCTACTTCGGCATTCTCCCACTCTGAAAACCCGGGAGGATATCCCAAAGGACAGCGGGAACTTCATCGTCCCGTCCAGAAGCGCTCGGCCCCTCCGTTCTCTGAGGAGGAGCCGAGGAAATTGGAGTCGCCCTAATCCCTTCAGCAGGGTCAGACTCTGGCCTTTGTCCATTCCAGGTCCCAATCCTGTTCCTAGGATCGGGAATTGGCCTTGCTCTTCTTGGAGCACGGGCTCTACCTCTAACTCCTCTTGCCATTGATTATTTCGAAGAAAAAAGCTCGAAAAAAAAGGGAAGGAGTTCGAATTCGAAGAAAAATAAACTGAAATCAAAGGAATTTACCTTAATCTGAAGCGAAAGTTGCCGATTTACGAGTTCGTAGTGGCAAGTCTCAGTTTCTAAGCTTAATGCTCGGGGAATTTGCGAAGTTTTGATGCGGGTTCTTGGTTTCTCTCGAGAATTCTGGGTTTGTGTTGGTGAATAAGTGAGGAGAGATGACGCGCCTCTGTTTATATCTCCAGGAATGGGATACGAGGAGTCCGCGTTTCAATTTCTCTTAAATACCCCACTAAGTAACCGTTAAACACACGACCTTGCGATTAAACTGCCCATTATCCGTCCAACTTCCACCATCATCCGCCTTAACCGTTGTTATCTCATTAATTACGGTTTAAATTCAAATTTTTGGATTAATTAAATCATTTACTTCCCTCCTTTTCTGAATTAAATCAAACCCGACCCGTCATCCTTCCAAATCGGGTCTGGGGGGCAAGTTGTTTGGGTCCAATTTAGTCCAATTGGGCCTAGGCATTAAATGATCCAATTAAAAGCCCAAGATCAAGGTTCAACTCTCCAATTGTGCTAAAGTCAAAGGTCAGCCCACAAAGCAAGCCAATTGGGCTAAGGCCCAACCTCTCCATGTATGAAGAGGTATAAAAGCCATCAATATTCATACATTCAGATTCATTCACAAATTTACATATTCACTCATAGATTCTCATATATTCTCATATATTCAATCAAAGCCTCAAGCAATTAATTCTCTTGCATAGTGTTCTCTTTCTACACATTGTACTGACTTTAGCATCGGAGGGGCCTTCCTCGGCAACACCCCCGAGGCTAGTTTACGTGTGTTTACTGTGCAGGAAACCTTCGGCCCAACATAACTTGGACCGAATCCAGTCTTCTCCGTTTCAGCGGACCTTCGGCAAGGTCCTATTGTTTTCACCCGAAACAATGACTATTCTCATAACATAAGGAATTTTGGAATACTTTTTATACGGAGTAGAATTTATGCTTTCTTGCACCCAAATTAAAATAAAATAACATTAAATAAAATGTTTGTTCCTAGGGAAACATTAAAATAAAGGATTTGAGGAAGAAGAATCGGTGCTTATTAGATTTAACATTAAACAAATTTAAGTTCATGATCACGTTGCATCTCAAAATATATATAATTAAGTATAAATAAAATCGATAATGGATAGGAATAAATGGAATCATTTTCTGTAAAAATTAGATTAAATCAATCCTAATTAATTAATACATCATCTGTTTATTTCTATTGTTACACTTTGATTTTCATGGCGTCTAATGCATATTTATAACCACGAATATATACTCGGTATGATTTGATTAAAATTTTTACAGACAAATCCAATAACACTATTTCTCATGATATGATGATTTGATCTTCATAGTAGTGTATTTGTCTAAGTTATAAAATGTTGCCCATCAAACTTAAGATGTAACCATAGAAATTAAGGAAACGGAGGGGGTAACTCATTATTATAAGTAGTCATGTATTGTAGTTTATCATCTAATTGGATCATTCGTATTAAATTGAATTACTTTAAACTTATTTGAAAATTTATTAAACACATTTATAAAGTAATATATTCAAATTTGGCACCATACCATTTACAAAACCTTCTGGATAATTGTTGTTTTGTAATTTATATTTCAGTAAATAGATAGTATGTACTTGTTAAATTTGTCTTAATTATTATTTATTTTTGAAGTATCAACTTTCTAACAATATCACACTATTTACATTTTCTTATATTAATCACATTTTTTTCTTACATTCATCTATTTTCTTAATATTTTTGCAATAGTAAATGTAAGATTAAATTGGGGGGAAAAAAAAAATACTCCATATTACATCTAATCATCTATTTTCTTAATATTTATGCAAATAGTTAAAGTAGGTGATTTCTTCATACAACATGTGTTCTATAGACCTCTCGCTCGTGGTCCTTGAGGTGCCCCTTTTTGGTTCATAAGCTCGTTCCTCGTGGATCTTGCTTTTGGATTACTTATTTAATTTTTTTGGTTTATCATTATTATTATTTTTATTAAGTAAAGTATTTCTTTTCCCTTGTAATTTATTACAATTTTATTATAAGTACATTTTAAAGAATATAATATGGCCTTCTATCAAATAATAATAATAATAATAATAATAATATGGCCATATGGGGCAATATTTAGAATTTTCATGTGCTTTATGTGTTTGACACATTAACCCAATCGACAAATATCTATGCATTACTTAACACTTGTAAATAATTAATTCAAAAGATCGGTGATCGCAATTCTAAAATCATAGAGATTCCAATTCGATCCGAATCTATATTTATTCAAAACAGCCAATTTTGAGATTCTATTTGATCTCATATTAAACATTAAGCACATATTTTTACTATTGAAACTTTATTAAAACATATTTTTCCTAAACTTATATTGATAAAAAATAAGTAAAAATAAGATGATAAATAGAACATTTGCTAACCAAATGGATAAAAATAATTATGTAAATTTATTTATTACTGTAAAAAATAATGTTAAATTATAAAAATCTAAAAGTAAAAATTTCTCTATATAGGTTGTACTCCATAATAAGTAGTAAAACTCATGCAGTCATGCCCTTTAAGCCAATTTAAGGCAATGGGTTCAATTCACCTCATCATCTAATATCTACTTTGATCTATTTTTTTATATTTGACCATAGTTTGACCTTTTTTTGTACATTAAATTCTAAGGTAGGTAGATTCCTTATGATAATTTTATCATCAAATAAAATGTAGGTAGATTCCTTATGATAACTTTATCATCAAATTATAGATATCTAACTATTAATAGAGGAAATAAAAGAATAAGATTTAATTTGATTTAATCTGATTATTTCTTAAATAAGTAAATTTGAATCAATTTAAATGAGTTAAAATGAACATAGCACATTTTGCTTAGATGATTCAAGAAATCAAAATATTGGCTTGATTAGTCATAAACTCATAAGCATAGTCCCTAATCTTATCCATTGTATTGTCCAAAAGAATTCCAAATGTAGGAATTGAATATTGGCTAAGACAACAGACAATCAAACGTGGCTCACTGTCATCTCACCCAAATCTACCCTTCCTATTGTAATTATAACCGACGTCGTTATGACATGCAACCAACACCGTCAAACTCCCCATCTTCCCAACTCACACTTCTTTAACGGAAAATATCTTCTTCATCCTTTTTTTTTAATTTTTAATTTTTAATTTTTTTTATTTATGTAATCAACTTAACATAAATACAAAGTGAATTCTTAATCAATTACTAAATTTAAAAAAATCGTACATATATTTTTTAATCTAAATTTTTTTACTTTTGATGAATTACGGGTAAGGTCATTCACCTTTCTAATTTATAGTGAACTAAAATTATATTTATTGGTTAAAATATTATTTTTCACTTGATTTTTATAAGTAACTAGTGTGTACGTGGTTCGAGCATTACATTGCGTTGCTACTTTTATTAAACCCGGTGATAATATGTATTTAAAGATTAATATTTATGGTGTTATTTTTTTTAATCAGATCTTGTGATTTGCAAAAATGTACATTTATTTTTATGTTTAATACATAGTTGATGATTGGTTTAGATGATTAACCTGTATTTAAATAACCATTCACGTCCAGTTCACTTCACCTTAAAAAAATTAATATTAAGTAAAAATAATTTCTGTTCAGTAATATTCAGTAACTATATAGAAGAAATATAATAGAAAACTAGTAAAAATAATTTCACTTTAGCAAAAATGAGGTAAAGTGAACGTGACCTAGGATTGAGTAGGTGATGTGGCGTTATAAAAGGAGGACTACGCCACACATAAATAATTTTAGAAATGCCTATTTGAAGTTTTGAACACAACACGACCCATGCCCAACTCTAGTATTGTTTGTCCGAAATGGCAACACATAATAACACCTCCGTTATCCATCCACCGTTAATCTTAACTGTATCCAAACTTGTTTTTTTTTATGAAAAAAGGTTGAACGTAGTACTAGTGCAACCCAAAACGTACGGGGGTAGGTGGGAACCAAGGCAACACCCTTTACACTCACTCTTTCTCTCTCTATCTCTCTATCTTATTCCAATCAAATCCTTTTATTTCTTTTATTTTCCGTACCAATTCATCTTTTCTGGGTCTATATAAACCCCTGTTTAGTTTCACCCTAAAATAACAGATTAACATATCTTTCCATTTCTCTCATATATATTTTCAGTTCAAATTCTCTCTATTTTTTCCAGAAATTAAACTTGATTTTATGGCCGCTAATTCGAGTTGCCGTGGAGTTACCACCTTTGGAAAACGATTCCTCACTCAAATCGTTTCTCACCCAACTCGCCCCCTTTCTGCTGCTGCTCCTGCTTCTAGGTATATTTTTATATTCTTTTCATATCAATTTTATACTGTCATTGTTTAATTTTCATCCTTTTTCGTTTCTTTTTCCATGATCACTCTGTTTTTTTGTGGGATTTTGATTTTTTGTACATTGGTTTTGATGAGCATATTGTTTTTAAAAACTCTTTTTTATGACTATTTTTGAACTCCTTGCATAAAATGACCATTTTTAAACTAATTTTTATTTTGGGTGTATCATTGTTGAAGGTTGAGGATGTAATGATGAATGTATTATGTATGATCATTTTTTTTTCAATAATTTTGTGGAATTTTCTCTATATTTTGGGTTTTTTTTGGAAAAAAATAAAATAAAGTTACGTGGTAGTTTTATTTTTTGTAAAATGTTATGATGTTGGTAAGTGATTGTTGCCTTGCTGCCAAAAAAAAAAATAAATAAAATTTGTTGCCTTCTTGGGTTAAAATATGGTCATTTGTGTTATCTTATGTTTTCTGTCCATTTCTTCGGGGTTAATGGTAATATGTGTGAAAATGACCTATATTGTTAGATTATCACTTTTATCATTATTCCCTCCGTCCTCAAATAATTATCCTGTTAAGCTCCAATACACGAGCAAGCATATTAATAAACCAAAATAGGGATTATAGGCTTTCCTTATTGTCCTGTAATTTGTTGATTTCGGTTAATACATAAATATTCCGTACTATTATAAATGTCAATTAGCTTAGTTGAGTAACCTAAAACATAAAATTGAATTTGTTTGCGTAGTTGCCTTTTGACCTTTTGTGACTCACTATACACGGAAAATACATACTTGAACTAGTAATATTGAGATGCCTATAATTATGTAAGTTTCCGGGTTTCTGACACTAGGAAAGTTTTCTAAGAATAAGCAACTGTCAGTGGTAAGTTTATTTTAGATGTTTTTATAGATTTTTTGGGAAATTACTTCAGCTTCAATTCATGGTCATATTTAGAAAATTCACTGCATAAAGTGTTGTCTTGTTTCAAAAATTACTGGTGGAAAATAAAGTACTAGTATCAAATATTGGTAATTTTGTGAATGGTTAATAATTTACTATTTCTAGAATAAGTTAATCAAGTTGTATAATATAGAAAGGAATCCTAATTCTAGTCTTTTTTTTCTAAAATAATATGGAGTTTAATTGAATTATTGACAATAAACATGTTGACAAATGCATGATACCTTAAAATCGGTGGGCAGATTTATGAGAATATACCTGATTTAGAAATTAGATTAACTAAACAAATTGTTTTGAATTGACTTTTCTTGTAGCTGTTTTGGTCTTAATTTGTAATATAAAAAGAGGAGGTTTGATCATAATAGTCCGTACATGCTAATGTCATGAACAATTGTAGTCATGTGGATGGTTCGTGCGCGAAAATTAGCCATAATTTAAGCTTTTATGTCATTTTCATGATTCTAGTGTTGCATTTTAGTGGTCAAGCCTAACTATATTGGATTCTTCTTTAATTTGGAGATTTAGTGTGGGTTAAAATATATTATCGTCTTTTTGAACGAGTTGCGAGGATAGGTAAGGTGTTGCTATATGCTTACCTTAAAGAAGCAAGGTGATAGCAATATTTGGTTGCAACTAATTGCAATTGTGTGTTTAACACGTATTTAGATGGGCCAAATGACCAACTAATTTGTGTGTTGGATGATACCGAGAAATTTGTAGCATGTTATTCACAAATTTGGTGTGAATAGGTAGTATACGGCTTGTCATTAAGTTAGTTGGTTGGTTTCTTTCGTAGGTGGTTCATTAATTTTGAAGCCTTTAGCTTAATACTCGTAATATAATCATCCTTCTTTAAAATTTATCTTTGCAAATAATTTGCGTATTGATCATGGAAAAGGATATGGCGGATTACCCTTGACTAAGCTAGTTGCAAATACCCGAAGAACTACAGTATTGGACATGAAGCTTCATTAGGTTACAATAAGTTAATAGCGGTACATTTTTTCTTTGTAAAGTCATTAGATAAAAAGGTTGATTATCTTACCTAGAATCCAGCACAATTGCGTTGATGTCAAGATCAGATATATGTGGGTCTTGTCTGTTTTCTGTAAAAACAAAGTAATGCTTAAGCATGAAATATGCCAAATGAATAATTAATTGCCAAAGTAGTTGGCCGGTTGATTGTCAATTTCCTTAGATGTGTGTGCAGTGTGCCCATCATCAGTCATAGTGCATCTTGCATAGTTGCTCTTGCTCATCATATTTTATTCGAAGTTGGTTATTCTCTATGTCATAGACACATGGGTCGTCTCAGCTGCTGTTGCGGTCTCTGTATCTTGTTACATACGATGTACGTTGTAATTAGTATGCCTCTCGTTCAAGTTAATTAATTATGAGTACTAAATAGTGTGTTGTGGTTTGTATGTGATCTCAAATTTGATTTACTCGTGAAAATTAGGTTGTTTACTTGCTATGGCCTGTTATGTGTCCTTGACTATCATATACAAGGAGGGATTGAGAGGATATTCCGTTGATGTGCTTGCTCAAGTTTTTTCTTGTCAAATTCGGATGTGTCAATGAGTTGGTGATGGGTAGGAGACTAGGAAAACATATTAGTTTAGTTCAATCAGGGAAGAAGATTATATCACATTGACCGTCAAATGATTACGTGTTGATGAGTTCATGGAGTAAGACTAGGAACAGGAAAACATAATTTCATAATTTGTCCTCTAAAAGATTGATTGGCTATTTTGTTCAATTTTATTGACATTACAATTGTTTTAGTTGGCCACTTGGTTGATTAAAGTTGTGACAGAAACGTTTATGCTCAACATAACGTATGATTTAATTTGCAGGAGGTCTCTTCATGCTTCAGTGTATGACAAGAACGTCGATGATCATGTCCGCCCAGCTGTGGTGCCAGATGATATGATTCAGCCTCAATCAGATAAGTACTGGTCTCCAAATCCTAGCACCGGGGTTTTTGGACCTGCTGCTGAGAATAACGCAGCTGCAGACCGTGGTTTCCACTCTTCGCCCTCAAATGCTGGCTACGAGTCTGTGCTGGAGCAGAAGACCTTTTTCCGTCCTCTTGAGGACCTGGAGAAACCCCAGCATCCTTGATACCTTAAAGAAGATTAAGCCGCCCTAGTTAATTACTACATATACATACATAAGTGAAACTAGAGGCAGGCTAGTAGTTATAATATAATTGAGTCGTAGTTTATGCTAGTAAAAAAAAACTCTGCTCTATAATAATTACTCGATCGTGTTCATAGAGTTCGTGGGCGATTAGTCGCTTGGAAGATCAGTGCTTAAAAGTTGTGATATGCTATCCTGCTCTGATGATTTTGTATTTTGGTTACGGGTGTGATGTATTTTGTTCAGATACAGTATCATCTTACTTGTATGAATATCAGAGCGTTTATGTATACAAAAATATCTTCTTTGTAATTTATTTAGGCGAAATTTTCTTTTTGAAATCTAAATGCTAAGTAAACAAATAAGCCAAATGAGATAATGATAAGAATCTTTATCACATGACTGTCCTTTTCTATTAGGTTCTTCTTGAGTATTGTAAGATTGATACAAGGAGAGGGAGCGATGTGATGTGCGATACACTATGTACATGATTAAAGTCATTTAAGATATCACTTAACTATATTCTTCGTTATCCTATTTTACTCGGGTTTTATTTTATACGGAGTTGAGGGCCGGGATATAATCCTGACTCGAAATCCATCGCTACATACATGTAGTTTCTCTTTGTGGAGACATCTAATCATGAACAAACAAGGGATAGCAATATTGAACAAACATAAAATGATTTTGTGGGCAAGGTAGGATATACAGGCCTACAGCTAACAAATGTCCCACTAAAGAGATAATTTTGTGGTACCAAAAGGGTTTTTGGACCGTCTTCTATGCTGGAAGATAGTGAATTAATACTATTATTGATGATGAGTAGTCAATTTTTATTGGCTCTTCCAAATTTTATGGATAAGCAATTCATAATGTTTCAAGTTAGGAGTAAAACTATTTATGTCTGATATGAACTGACATGACTTAATTAAATTAAATTATGTTTCTTATGAATTAATTTTATTTTTTCCCCATTTTCCAATGATAAAATCAGCTTAGCTATCATCAATACAAATGAATCATAGGTTTACAAGTTACAACATGGGTGTAATAGTGTATATATTGGCCTGGTTATGAAGTGCCTTGGATTTGGATTACGTCGTCGAACTATAATATCGTTCATTCTTGCAAGTTGCAACATTATTTGACTTTGATATTAGAATTGAGATATGTGAATACTGAATACTACCTCCCTTCCTTAATACTACGTACTTACTTCTTTCTTTAATGATGGCCGTAATATTTAGTTTAGTGTAGAATTGTCAATAGTGTAATCAACATTACTCCGTATTAATAAATAAAGGTATTAAGGGTTTGTTTTGTCCAGTTTAATTTAGTTTTAATAAGTTCCATTAATTTCCTTCTTTTAAAAACAATTCATTTCAGCTCTATTCAGTTCAGTTCAGCCTCAATCATTTCAGTTCAGTAAATCAAAACAGATCTTAATTAATTACGATATCCAAAATATCTTGCAATACACTTGTACGCTTGCTAAAAATTGTAAGCAAAAAGTAACAGTTGGCATGATCTGAGCTCCCTAGTCAGACTGTTATCCAATTCTCAGACTTTAGGGTACAGTATTTTTTATTTTTTTAAGTACATGAAAATTACGAGGACAATATTACTGTGGATAAGATAAACTTTTTTAGACCCACATTCAAAAAGATCCGAATCTTTATTAATTATTCCAACCTCTTTTTTGGACTTTATATCTTTTTACTGTTTTGGAAATATTTGTTTAAGGATAAATTAATGATTTTTATTTGGTACTCGTATATCGGTGGATCCGTGGATGTGTCTAGAAAATATATACGAAGTATATATATACATAGTATACTAGTATACTGTATAAGATTGTGAATCTTGAAATAAGATTAATTTCATCGGATAATTCTATAATAAGGATATGTTTTTTTCAGTTTAATTTCAGTTCAATTCAGCTCAATAAATTTTTTAATTTTCTTCTCTCGTAAACAATTCAATTTAGTTCAGTTCAACTCAGCTCAATTCAGTAAATGAGAACAAACCCTAAGTGTTGGTTTGTTTCACCTTACTTGATTCCATTCAGAGAAAATAAGTTCAATAAATTCATTTAAGTTTATAAAAAATAAGTTGCAATACAGTTACTTAAAAATCTCATGCAACAAATTTATCATCAAAATATCAAATAAGTGTAACTTTTAAAAAGAATTCCAATTGAAAGTCCAAAACCTTCTTTATGCCATCTAGCTCAATTAATAATAATCTATTAACTAACTAACTAACTCATTCAAAAACTTAAGCGGATGGTTGAGTCTCAAAAATATGTTTTTCATTCAAAAATTTAAGCGGATGGTTGAGTCTCAAAAATATGTTTTTTACTCCAGCTATTATTATCATTTTATGTCTTACTTACGCACAGCATGCTCCATTGCAGCGTTATCCTAATCTAAAAGGGCTTCCCATACAGTTGGAAAGGAATCTCGAACTCATTTTTTGGTCTTAGCATTTCATTCATTCATACTGTATTCTTCTGAAGAGACAAGGATGTACAAGTTGCTCCAAGTTGAAGTGTGGAACTTATTCTCAATCAATATAGTGGTAAACAGCGTACTTTCTTTGTTTCTAAAATATGCCTCAATTTTCTTTTACTTAGTCCATTTAGACTTGCAGTATAGTATTAGTGACTAGGGGTGACAATTCAGGTCAACAGGTTAGGCTTGGGTCGATTTCGGATTATGCAGAGAAACTATTAAAAATAGTGTAAAACTTAGGGCATGTTTTCTTCCGTTGAAATTCAATTCAGTTCAGTTCAGTTCAACTCTTAATTTACGTCTAATGATATTGCTAATGATATAAAGCCAAATTTCATTCTTTTAAGCTCTTATTATAACGACGACAACAACAACAAAAACAACAATAATAATAATAATAAAAATATTAATAATAATAATAATAATAATAATAATAATAAGTAATAAATAATAATAATAATAATAATAATAATAATAATAATAATAATAATAATCAATAAATAATAATAATAATAATAATAATAATAATAATAATAACAATAATAATTGAAATAATAATACTAATAATAATAATCAATAAATAATAATAATAATAATCATCAATAAATAATAATAATAATAATAATAATAATAATAATAATAATAATAATAACAATAATAATAATAATAATACTAATAATAATAATCAATAAATAATAATAATAATAATAATCAATATTAATAATAATAATAATAATATTAATAATAATAATATGTACATTTGTATATACACACATGTATAGTAATAAATAATCAATAAATAATCAAAGATCACTAATCCGTAGTTAAAAATAACTAATTAATAAGTTCAGTTCAACTCAGCTCACTTCAGTTCAGTTCAGTTCAACTGAGTTCAGTCAATCGGAACAGGCCCTTAATATTAGTATGAAATATGACATTTGAGTCAAATCGGGTCGAATTTGGGTTCGATTCGGGTCGGATTCGAGTCGTGTTATTGATTCGAGTCAGGGATTGCCAACCCTATTAGTGACTAGTGACTTAGGGCCTATTCTCATTGACTGAACTGAACTGAACTGAACTGAATTGAGCTGAACTGAATATTTTATAAGAGAAGGAAATTAGGAGCTGAACTGAACTGAACTGAGCTGAGCTGAACTGCACTGAACTAAGCTAAACTGAATTGAATTGAATTTCAACGTAAGAGAACAGACCCTTAATGAGTATACCTTATTCGCTAACTTTTCATTGCGTTCTTAGCATAGCGCATCCCATATACGAATTATCCACGACTTTTTGAATTTTGAAAGGTATATATGAATACGAGTACTAGATTTACAAATTATTTTATACGAATTCTTCATGATTTCTTTTTCAAATTATGTAAGCACCAAGCTCGTTATCACAAGTTATAGTAGTTGTCAATGGAAAGTGCAAGGAAATTGCAGATTTGTTAACTGGTAAATGCTGTTGTCTTTAATTGAAGATTGGTCCATTTTAGTAGTGTAAAGAAATAATACATTCCATTCATTAGTTGAATTTGAATGGTTATAAATGGGAAAATATGGGACTGTCTTTAATTAATTGTTACCTTCTTAATACGGAGTATAATTCTACAGCATCATTTATTTATTTTTATAATGGTAAAAAAAAGTAAACATTAGAAAACTCTTCTAACAAGGGAAATTTCTAATGCCTTGGAAGAAAGGATGGAAAATAAAGAAGATTTGTTACATAAAAACTATATTATACTATCACTAATTAAATGACCAACATTTTGCTATTCAGTCCGCTGCTTGATTTGCCTCCTAAAAGATATGACGAATGCTCTGGTTATCAAAATTGCTAAGAGAACAAATGTCTTTAACAAAATTGCTAACAATATAATTCTCCAGCATGATGCCAACATTTTAGACATGATCTTGAAACGTTGAAATTGTTCCTCATGAATCACGACTTAACTTTATTTATAAAGCACTGTAGATAATTGGGGAATAGATTGTCTGCCACTCGTTGACCATCAAAAATAAAATTGGCCAAATCAATATACTTTTCCTTGTAAAAATAATCCTATTTGCGAATAATTTTGTCATAAATTCCAAATTTAATTCTATTTTTAAATGAAAATGATGGATTTAAAGTTTAAACAACTGACAAATTGTTCACAAATCCCTGGTATTTGGGCCACTCAGGCAAGGTGGGCTACTAGGCTTTGATCTCCCAAATCGAGGACCACATATATTTTCCCAATATAAAGTTTCTTTTAGTCCTTTTTTTTTTGGGTGAAAGAGAGGGGCAAGCCCCAAAACAAAGGAACAAGCTAAAACAAAAATAAAAGCAAAACCAAAACAACTAGAACAAAGCACACATCCTAAGGCACTCTACCAGCCGGAACCATCCTTGCCTGCATCATCCCACTCAATCCTCCAATAACACGGCAAAAAATCCTTCGAGACCGCTTCAAAGTGAACAAACTTCTCATTCAACGTCACGCCATAGTTTGCTAACCAATCTGCCGCTCGATTAGCTTCCCTATAACAGTGAGAGATGGTAACCTTCCATTCCCTTTCGAAAACAAGAGCTTGAGGAAACTATACAATCTTGGGTGACGTGCACAAAATAGTCCTTTGAGTCTAGGCTGAAAACGTTGGCAGTAAATAATCCTTCAGCCAACACGGAGTTTGAGGAAACTAGGAAAGGCATCAGAGGATTGTACACGATCTAATCTATACCTATTTCCAAGAGGCTGTTTCTGCAAATATATTCCGTCAAGCACCATCATTCTAAGGTGATCATACAATTACAGTGATGAGCACCATAGTGTCCCCGTAAACTCCTAAAGCAACTGCAATTCTGAAACATAACATGCACATAACACATTGAAAACAAATTAAGGGCAGAAATGTCACGCATAGTCGAATACTATTTCCTAGTTGGTAAAGACATTGAGAGCAAGCATCACCAATTTACCTGAATCGCCATCCGAATGCCCCTTTGTTACATCTGCGAGTCAACAGGAAGGCCAGGAACGCATGGTTGATTCAAGTAATGTTCCATCTGCAAGTCAGCTAGGCTTCAGATGGGTAAGATTAAAAACCAAATTATGCAATCAGCATGATTTGCCTGAGTAAGATTAGAAACTAGAATGAGTACAATTATGAATTCATAATTCTACAGATATTGTTGTAAAGGAAGAAGAACAACTGATCACATACAAAAATAAAAGAAATCACGAAAAAAGGTACCTTGAAATAAGCAAGTGGGGTTGGGGATTGAATAGTTGATGTTAAGGCTTGCCTGGCCTAATTTATCACTGTGCCTGTGATTTGTTTCTTCTGCATTTTGGGACTTATAATGGGGTTGGGGATTGAATAGTTGATGTTAGGTTAATTTTTGGATCAAGTGAGGCCGTACAGTTATAAAGATAGTCATGCGGAGTTTCTCCTCAACAGGCTTCAGAATCGGAATCTAAAATCATCAGAGCATCATATTGGTTGAAGGTGCATCAGTGCAATCTGCAACATCTCCCTGGACTTCCTATCAGGAGTACATCCAGTCAACTCCATTTGTTCATACAGTTCAGGAACCTGATTCAGAAATCACGTCATTAGATCAATTAAACAATAAACAAGAAATAAAAAATGTAACTTTAATGTGAGAGTGAAGTAAATCTTTGTAAAGAAATGTATAATATATTTTCCAATGAACCCTCTTTTGTCCAAAACAACCACAATATCTGCTCAAGTATCTTACCATGTGAGCAAGTTAACAAATTGAGATTTACAAGCATAGAAAAACTTTAGGGTGTCTGAAGAACACGTGATTGGAGATTCTCAATAGTACAACTGTACAAGTACATATGGATTAGGTTTCCACTTTACAACAGTAATAAGTTACATCTTGATCTTTCTCATATTCACTTAATGATACGATTATTAAAAATTCCACAAAAAGATTACACTGATATGGTGAATATGCAAAAGATACATGGATTTTTAAGGTGCATTAGCAACATCCCTTGATGATGACCCCCAGTCAAATGAGGCCTATAATTTAGAAATGGAGGGAGTGTGATAAAAGAATAAGGTTGTCAATCAAACTCAAAACATACCCTGTTGAACTTTTTAGCCCTGATCAAAGCTTTCATTAGAGTGGTGTATGAAACGACATCAGGATTAATGCCCTGCGATAAAGACATATATTGAAAATTCAGTTGTGAAATGCATGGCAAGGCAAGGTGAAAGAGCTTAATTCTTCAGTAGCATATTTTCCAGTATGAAGTAATGTCACTTACACTTTCAATGATATGGTCATATACAGAGAGTGCCTCAAGATATCTTCCAGCAATACCAAATGCGTTGATCAAAATATTGAGCATGATTAGGTTCGGTTCAATACCTTCAGCTTCCATGATTTGCAGAACCTTCACAGTCTCTTCACATAATCCCTAAGACATATAAATAAGAAATAAACCCTCTCAACCAATATTAGTGATGTCAAGTCGTGCAACCATTTTTTCAAACAGGAAAAAGTGACAAAAACATGCAGCACTTTCACCAGATCACTAAACAAGGGATGAGAGTCATTCACATAGCAATATAAACTCTAATTTCATGACTATGCAACCAATTTGATCTCATTCAAACTCTTGTGAAGACATCTTTCCAAGAATCAACAATTACAACTGGCAATATGTACAAACATGAAAATAAAGGGAGGCTAAAGTAATATACATGTGCAAATTGGCACTGCTTAGTGATTCACACTCACACCCTACCTATCAAAACATAACATCTTGAGCTATTGATGTCTTCCACGACTTAGTTAAGAATCTCTAGAGAAATGCTGTGATTTCCCAGACAGATTTCCTTACTGCTCTTTGCTTAAACCCACCACTTATGAATTTTCAAAAGGCCATAAAATTTGTAGCCAACCAAACTGATGGAATACCTATTTTCCCCCTGGTTATATAATCTTCAGTTCCCCACAGCCAATGTAAAGCCATCTAATTGCTATAAGTTGTTTTCCCTTGTAGCATATAGTTCTCCCACTTCCATCCCATTAGGACTTCCTCTCCATTTACTAATCATACCCTTTCCATCCTCCGACTTTCTCCAATTTTTCCTCTGAGGGTACATAGTGTTCCAAGAAAAATTTCTACAGCATTATACTAGGGAAATACAAGGAATTCATCTTATTTTTACATTCAACATTGGAATAATATTATTTAATACGAGTATAAAAGATAGGATTAAGGACAGAATTTCTTTACCACCTTTTAATGAAGTTGTATCAGTTACAAGAACCAAGAAGAATATGCCTTTAAATCCCAAAAGAACGCCACAAGACCGTACAATACATGCATCAATATATCAGACAATAAGAAAAATTGAGATGTTAATGCAAGTAGTTATACCTGTTGAGCATATGCATTAGCCATAACAGAATAAATATTTGATGACATCTGAACACCTTCAGCTCTCAAAGCAGATATGCATTCTTCTGCACCCTGATACCTCCCGTACTGTCCATATATGTCAACTAGAACGGCATATACAGCTCCACTCTTTTTGTAACCTCGACGGTTCATTTTCTCAAGATTTTCCTTCAACAAATCCCACTTTCCGTGATCTCCTAGCTGACTGATCAAAATAGTAAATATCTTAGGATCAGGATACAGTCCTTGATTTTGCATATCAGTAAACAAACTAAGTGCCTTCATATAATCCCCAGCCTTGCAATGCCATTTGATCAAAGAATTCCACGTCATTATATCCGGCACTACTCCTTCCCTAAGCATCTTTCCGAACACTTCCATGGCTTCATCTAGCTCACCATACTTCCCAAATGTATCAATAATGCTATTATACATCCGCCTATCCACAGGCACACCCATCTCACTTATCTCCCCTACGATTTCCATTGCCTTCTTCCACATCCCATTATCTCTATACAACTCAATTACCCTACTATACACAAACGAATTCAATCGATAACCCCTCTTCTTCATATCCCCAATAATCCTCCAAGTATCAGTCAACCTCCTAGCACTAACGTAATAATCCAACAAAATCTCAAACGTCTCTTGATTTCGACGAATACCCAACTCCTCCATTACCCTTAAAGCTCTATTAGCAAGCTCATACAACCCTTTTCTCAAAAACCCTTTAATCAAAACATTGAAAACCCCAACACCAGGTTTGAACCCAAGATATATCATTTCTTGGAAAATCATTTCAACTTCAAGGGTTCTACCAACACTTCCTAAAGCCTCAATTAAACATGAATAGCAAAAAAGATTAGGGTACATACCCATTGCTTGCATTTCAGAAATACATGACATAGCCTTATCTACACACCCAATTTTACAATAATTACTGATTTTTTCACTGTACAACTCTAAAGATTGTTCTTTTACAACTGGGTATTTCATAATTGAATTGTTATCACTATTGGACAAGTTACTATTTGAGGTTTTCATGGTTTCAGTATGATAAATTGAAAAGCAAGAACAAGTGTATATGTTTCGTTTGTTGGAGTTGTAAAGGGAATTTGGATAAAACGAAGAAATGAGATATGAAATGGGATACCTGGTGATTATTATAGGGATCGTTGAGAAGGCTATGCAACAGCTCCATTGTTTATGAACAAATTAATCCCAACTTCAATCTTCTTCAAGTCCGCAACTTCAATTTCGGAGTAAGCTTAACCAGAAGTCGCCCCGGGAGATATTACTGATTTTTTTTGTTTTTTTTGGTCATTTTCTTATGGACCATGTTGTCCATGTATTACATGACCCTGAGAATACACCAATAACACCCTACCTTCAATTCAATTTTGTATTTTTTTTAAAATGGGTTTGAAAGCGTGGGTTGTGAGTTGTGAACTTTAAGTTTGAATAAATTTATCATTTTATATCTAAAAAGGAAATTTTTGTTTCAATTTTTAGAAAGTTTTTCAAAATTAGCACCAAACTCTTGGATTGTTATCTTTATTTTAAAATGATTTTCTATTTCCACACCCAAAATAAGTGTTTGAAGGGAAGAGGGTGAGGGTGAGGGTGAGGGTGAGGGTGGGGTTGGGGTGAAGGGATGAAACAGAATTACATATAATTTAAGTCATTTGTATTGGATTTAACTTGCCATTCGCTAAAAATTATACCTCAAAAGTCAAAACAGCTTGCACCTTGCGGTGCATCTAGGCATCTAACGCATGGGCATAGCCTACGTCATGTGCTTCTTAGAGTAAGAAGCCCCTACTATACGACGGCGGGCATATGCCTCATCTCTGGCAAGATTCTAACTCAAAGAGACAAAGATACCAATCAATTTGATCATGTGACATATAAAAAAGATAAAATAATTTTCAAGTCGAGTCAATTACTCAATTCTGATAATTTGATCACGGGCCTTTACTACTTTAATCTGGGCTCCAAAGAATTTCCATAGCCCAACTAAAACCAAAGAGAAAAAAAAAAGTGGGAAAAAAGAAAATGAAATGTAAAGAGGAAGGAGAAAGTAGGGTTTGTGAGAGGCAGAACATAAAACCCGAGTTTTGCTTCCTCCCCCAAATTTTTGCAGAGAGAGACGACTACACCACCATTTTCATCACTATCAATCGTCGGATCTCTCTCTCAGGTACTCCTTTTTTATTTATTTGGAAATAATCACTCTTAATTTCTTGATGTTTTGATTTGATTTATTAATTACTGCACTTACCTTTCTTTTTAATTAATAATTATTCTGTATTCTTTTTTAAAATTAGTGGAATTTTCATGCTGTATCTAGTATATATAACCAGTTATTAGGGATCTGGGCTTTTAATTTGGTTGATTCTAATTCGGAAATGTGAGTTGGGTATTAGGTTGAAGAAATTAGAGGATTTTTGTTGATTTTATACCTCAAAATGTTAATTTTTGTGGTAATTGTGAGTATTATTTTTAAATTAGAGGAAATTAATCGAATTAGGGTATTCAAGTAGAGATTTTGGTGGGTTTTAATGGGTTGATGCTGTTTTTATTGATATTGGGTTCTTTATGGTATTAATTGAAATGAGGGTGCTGTTCTACTTTGATGATAGATGAGTGAGATTACCATCACCATTGATGCTTGATGGTCCAATTTGCTCTCTATTGATGTTGGGGGGCGGGAACGAGGTTGAGGATGTTCTGGTTAGTGCTATTTGAGTGTGCTCATATTGTTAGTTTGTGTAGTTGATGCCGCTTAATGAATTTGATTCAAATGTAGTATCTTTCCTTACTTTTTTGTACCCTTTAAGGAATTAAGAGAAAATAATGTTTGGGATAAGTGATAATCTTTGTACATTCAATGAAAAATAGTTGTTTTAGCTTTTGCCCTGTTTGCTACTCAATTGGCTTGTATGTGTAGTGGGGTTTTGATGTGAATATGGTCTTGAATGATGCTATACTTGTCTATTTTCGTGGATATATAAATGTGGAAGGTATTGTTGTCTTTGAATTCTGACTGAAATTGTTGTTATGGTATTGCCAACACAATGTATGCTAAATTTCTCGTGGTGAAGTGGGGAGGTTCTCTGCGGATACTTAGATATTGCTACAGAATTTTATACTTTATCTGTGACTTACTGAGCCCTTGTTCGATTATGCAGGTAAGCCATGGTGAGACATAATAATGTTGTGCCTAATGGCCATTTCAAGAAGCACTGGCAAAACTATGTCAAGACTTGGTTCAATCAGCCTGCTCATAAAACTAGAAGAAGAGTGGGTAGGTTTACTTGCACTTATATTGTGGGTGTGATCTGTGTCTGATTCCTGCTCCCCCCTCCATATAAAAGATTTTTACTCACTGTATTATGTTTGCATTTTTCAGCCCGCCAAAAGAAGGCCGTGAAGGTTTTTCCTCGTCCTACTGCTGGACCTCTTCGTCCTGTCGTTCATGGCCAGACTTTGAAGTACAACATGAAGCTCAGAGCCGGGAAAGGATTTTCCCTTGAGGAGCTTGAGGTGAGTGAGTGGTGTCCTCAATCTATACTGATCATGAGGTTTGATTAGGGTCCACCTTTATCTAGGATAGCTATGCCTATGCATCCTGGTTTGCGTACCAGCATCTGTCCTTAGTAGGATATGATTTTAGGTCATCGACGTGCAGTCTTTTCCCTGTTGGACCAGCCTCGCATGGTCAACTAGTCTTTTAGTTTATTAGCTGTTTGCTCATTGCCATTGATTAGATATTTACCTTTCTGACCGACTTGTTTAAATGCTGGCTCTATGGAAACTGATATATTTTATTGCTTGATATAGTTATTTAGCAATAAGGGCGATTAAGTTTTCTGTAGAATAAGACTAGAAGTCTGTCCTCACTGTTGAATATGGTATTGATCTACATGATGATCACTTGGCCACTCTAATGTGATGATTTACCATCTACATGATTCAGGCAGCAGGTATTCCTAAAAAACTTGCCCCAACAATAGGCATAGCTGTTGATCACAGGCGCAAGAATCGTTCTCTTGAATCTCTTCAATCTAATACCCAAAGGTTGAAGACCTACAAAGCCAAGTTGGTTGTATTCCCAAGAAAGGCCCACAAAACCAAGGTAATTAGCATCTTTGTAAGCTTATATTAAGCTTTTATCTTCAATGCGTCAAATAATTGTTTAATAATTAATATATGATCTTATATCTGCAGGCTGGTGATTCTTCTCCTGAGGAGTTGGCAACCGCAACTCAAGTCCGAGGTGAGATCTTGCCAATTGTACGTGAGACTCCAGCTGTGGAGCTTCTCAAGGTTACCGATGAGATGAAGTCCTTCAATGCTTATGCCAAGCTTCGATTGGAAAGGACCAATAAGCGCCACATGGGAGTCCGGTTGAAGAGGGCTGCTGAAGCTGAGAAGGAAGACAAGAAGTAGAACACAGTATTCAAGCTATTCGGTTGATATATTTTTTCACTCTGTTCATTTGTATTTGCTCCAGCTTTGGTTTTTTTTTTTTTTATTTTGCGCATACATTTTTGATGATCTTGCTTTCACAGCTACTGTATTGAAATTATTTGGTGATTTAACTAATTATAGGATCGGATGTGTTTCATGTGATGTTGAGCAAACATTAATATTGAATAGATTTTTTGAATTTTCTATCTTTTTTTATTCTCTATTGTGTTACAACTTTCATTATTCAGGTTATCTTCTGCTATGAATTGAAGCTTATGTGATCAGCGACTCAGCGTAATGGTTATGAGTACAAATTGTTTAAACTCTAAAAAGTCTGCCATATTTTTTGACTGAAATCATGATATCTTGGTAAGTATTGAAACTATATCATGATCACTCCCATCACATTTGGTTGTGATCAAGCTAACAATTCAATCATTTGATGGTTTTTTCCGATCATAAACTCAATTTGTTTAGAGTTTTGAAATTTACAGTAATTGTATTGCTCTTGGACAGAAAATATAGGCTGGCATCAAACTGAAATTCGATATAATCTTAAACTAAAAAAGAAATCTAAAAGATAGAGAACATGAAGTGTGACAGTATGATTAATCTTATAAAATCTTTATTGATCTTGCTCACATATGTAATATTGTACGATACAGAAGCAATAGTATAAAAATCCAATCACCAGACATGGCAACTGAAAAATGATGGGTAGTATTATAAGAAGTTTGTTTACACGCTAGCAGTATATCACAACAGCAGGTTTAACATTTTTTGTAGTTAAATCATCCTTAGTATTTGTGTGTTTGAGGTTTTATCAAAACATGTCTTCCTGACAACAGGTGTGATCGGGGCAACAAGTTGTACAAGGCCAAGCGCAATTGCTGGAGTTCGTGCAGGGGCCATAGCCACAACCATATACTTGATGATGCAGAAATTCATATTCTTGTGGTGGAAGAGTTGCTGGAACCTCTACATCATAGTAATTGGGTGTTGGTGCTATAAAATCATTATCTGCTTCGTCACCAGTAGATGGAGGCAGAGATGGGGGTTGTGATGGTGAGAAAGGAGGGAACGGTAATGGATCAGATAATGTAATTGGTGGCATATAGAAGGATTCGTCATTACAACACCTTTGGTTTGCACAACACGTTGTGCAAAGCCCATTACACTCACTGGAGTCGCTGCAACTGTAGCCACAACCACGAATTTGGTATGGTAGTACATCATCGAAACCGTCACTAGGTGGTGATGCTGGTGCTGGTGCTTCTACACTTGGTAACGGAATAAAAGTCTGTTGAGCAGGTGCAGGTGATGATAATGTTGGTATAAAGAAGGACTCATCGTTACAACATGTTTGGTTTGCACAGCAGATTGTGCAAGGCCAATCACAGTCATTGGAGTCAGTGCAATTGTGGCCACAACCATGGATTTGGTACGGTGGTGCATCGAATCCATCACTAGGTGCTGGTGCTGGTGCTGGTTCTTCTACTAATGGAGTCCATATCACTGGAGCGGGAGCAGGTGATGGTAATAATGGTATAAAGGACTCGTCGTTACAACATGTGTGGTTTGCACAGCAGGTTGTGCAAGGCCAGTCACACTCGTAGGAGTCGCTGCACTGTTGGCCACACCTGTGAAATTGGTATGGTGGTATTTCTACGCCATCAGCAGGTGCCGCTGTTGGAGCAGATACTGGTTCTCCCACGCTTGGTGATGGAGCAAGTGTCGGGAATGGATCTGAAATAATGTAGGGCTGCTCATCATAACAGCAGGTATGGTTTGCACAACAGACTGTGCAGGGCCATTGACAGTCATTGAAGTCCCTACATTCGGAGCCACAATCATGGATTTGGTATGGTGGTATACCATCAGTAGGTTCTGATGCTGGTGCTGGTGCTGGTGACGATGTCTCAGGGGAAGGCCTCACAGGAGGGTGGCAATTACGACGGTGCTTAATGTGCTTACGCCTTGCTTCTGCTGTATATGGAGACAGAGCTGCAGTATGAACTACATTAGTAACATATGCAATTATAACAAGACATGTACAAATCATGAGAGATTGAGACAGAGAAACACTTACAAGACGCGAAAATCACAAGGATAACAACCAGAATAGATAACTTGACTGAAGTTCCCCCCATGGTGATGAAGGTATGCTGATATTAATCATGTTTCTCTCAATCTATGAACTATATATATTGTGGTGTTGAACCGCCTCGGACGAATAATACTAGGATTACTTAGCTAGGCCACATTCAATCAATTGACTTTCCAAATCAAGTGAGAATGAAGTAAAGCTAATTAATATACTCCTCCACATGATCCATTGGATTAAGGGTGAAGTGTTGACCACTGAAAAAGAAACTAAAGGGGTGGCACAGATCAAAGTTATAGAGACTGAAATTTCGCAAATAATACTAAAGAATTTAAGAACATAGAAAGTTTAGTGTTTGAGTGAAATTTGCGAAACAATCGCAGAAAATATTTCATTGATGTTATGTAACGTTAATAAATGAACTTACCCAACAGATTAAAGGCATATAACATACCGCAATGCAAGAACACTACAAAGAAAATTAAATTCCTCTTGATATAGAATTGTTATTGTCATCTACAATTTACACAACACAATTATACATAGAGTCCCAAATTAAAGAATGAAAAAAAAAAGAAAAAAAAGGGAGAGAGAGAGAGCAAGGAATAGCCTAAGTGTTTTGAGTTCTCCTCCCGATTTCAAGAGATCTTGGGATCGATTCTCATCACTTGCCCTTGTAGGCAATGCATTCACACACTAAAATTTTCAAGTGTTTTAGTAGTCAATGTGTTTTAGATTGCACCTCATTACTTCGATCAGGTTAAAATTGTTGGATCCGCCATTGGTTTTGCACGCACATTGATTTGGATGTACTAATAAGTGACAAAGATACATACTCACTTGACACTTAACAACTCACAAGCAATCTTATGTTGGTAGGAAGATCGACTTCTTCGTCGAGTAATTATAATGCATGGATTAGAACTATTTTGTCTGGAAGGACCTTATAAGTTTAAAGTGCTCTAAACTCTAAAAGAACCTTATAAGTTTATTTTGTTGTTTAGAAGGACCTTAAGATCGGATTCCGGTGATTGACTTTCTTACTCCGACATTGACCTGTCACGTGACTAAAAAAAATGGTGAATCGCTAAACATCGCCCGCAAATTACCATATAAAGCCCACAAATATGACTTGGTGTGACCATTATGCCCATTTTTTAAAATTGAAATAATCTCGGTTTAAAAAATGTGGAGCCGTACTGGCTCGCCGGGGGAGACCGGAGGGCAGGCCGGAGATGCGGGGGACGCCGGAGGTACGTCGTCGTCGACGGAAAACGAGGTAAGTCACCGTTAAAATTCACGGTTTACCGTCGGAGTGGCTCCGGCGCCTAGGATGGACGCCCAAACCGTAGCCTGGACGTCCAAGCCAGACGCCAGAACCACCAGAGTGGCGTCCAGCCCAGACGCCCAGACCACCAGACTGGCGTCCTGGCCAGGCGCCTCTCTACTGGCTGAGGCGGCCCTGCCAGGCGCCAGTCCAGTGGCTGTGGCAGCCCTGGCAGACGCCACCCTTATATATTATTTTTTTTTTCTTTTTTGATTTTGTTGTTGTTTTTTATTTATTTATTTTTTTTTTAAAAAAAAATCGAAAATGATTTTTTAAAAAAATTCTAAATGGGTTTTTTTTAAATTAATTTTGAAAATTCGAAATAGGTTTTTTTAAAATTAAGTTTGAAAATTCGAAATGGTATATTTTTAAATTTAGTTTGAAAATTCGAATTGGGTTTTTATAAAAATTAAGTTTGATTATACATAATTATGCTTTTTTTTTGTGTTAATTCTGTGTAAATATAGAAATTAAATGTATTATCCGTTAAATGTATTTATTGTAATATATAATTGATGCAGGATTATGGTGGAGACGGAAATGATTACAGTGGGATATTTGGACATGATGGTCCATTCGAAGAAGCTCAACATGCGATTGATTGGGCAAAACAGGTTGCAATTGCAGCTGGATTTTGCTTGGTAGTAGTAACTCATAAATCTCAACGGGATTGTAGAATGGATGGCATTTTGAGATGTGACCGTTATCGCAAAAGAGAAGAAAGAGATTTTCGTACAACCACTCGGTTTGATACAAAGCGGAAAGGTTGTGGGTGTGAGTTCAGAGTAAAGGTTCGACAACTACGGAGTCGTGACGGTTGGGAAGTGATTGGTTACTCTAAATGGGGGTATCACAACCATGAGATGATAGTATATGAAGAGGGTCATCGACAGCTGAGCGGCTTAAGTCCTGCTGTGAAACTAGTTGTGAAAGAAATGAGTGATGCTCAAGTCAAGCCTGCTAAAATATTAGCATCTGTGTTAGAGAAATTTCCAGAAGACCATCCAAACCGAAGACACATCTACAACGTCAGACAGCAACTCAGGTTTGAACGGTCAGAGGGAAGGAACCCTATACAACAGCTGCTACACCAGGCACAATCACGTGGTTACCTGTTCTGGTTTGATTCTGATGAAGATACAGCGGAGGTGACTCATCTTTTCCTTGTGCATCCTGATTGTGCTGATATGATCAAGTCTTGGCCATTTGTGATTTTGATCGACTCAACGTACAAGACAAACAAGTACAAGTTCCCACTGGTTGAGATCATGGGGATGACTCCAACGAACCAGAACTTTCTGATTGGTCATGCAATCATCAAGGATAAGACGGCTCCAAGTTATTATTGGGTGTTGGAGAAGCTGAGAAACTACATCGGGCCTAATGTTCATCCAGCAGCCATCGTCAGCGACTGTGAGGGAGGTCTCTTTGCCCCCATAGCAGATTTGTTTCCAGAATCGAACCACTTATTGTGCACATGGCACATCAACAACTGCGTGAAAGTGAAAGCCTACAACCTTTTCAACAAGAATTTGGAAATGGCAGAGAGATTGGTGAATGGTAAGTGGCGGAAGATCCTACAGGCTACCACAGAGGAAGCATATGAGCGAGCATTGGCTAACTTCAGGGATTCGTACCAGTGGTGTCCGACACTGGTGGACTATGTGATGCAGCAATGGGTCCCTCCTAGGGAAAAGTTTGTCAAATATTGGACAAACCAGGTACTTCATTTCGGGAACACTACAACATGTAGAGTTGAGAGCGCTCATAGAGCTACCAAGGACTGGATTGATTCATCGACCGCTGCTTTGGATACACTGTTCGATAGACTTAACAAGTCAATTGAAACTCAGAAGAACGGCATCAGGAACTCTCTAGAGGACTCCAGACGACGACATGGTACGATGTATAGCCATTTTATATTTAAGATTCTCCATTGTCGTGTGTCGCACTACTGCTTGGGGTTGATTCTCACTGAGCTGAACAGGATGAGGGACTTGGCTGACGAAGTGTATGCTCGGTGTGGGTGTGCTATTTCAGTAACTCATGGATTACCTTGCGCATGCACCATTCACCGCGTTATTACAGAAGAAAGGGCGTCGTTACATGTTGATCAGGTCCATTCATTCTGGAGGACGCTTGTTATTGGTGAGCATGCAGACACTCAAACGGCCGACCGTGAACAGGAGGAGTTGGAGCAGTTTCGTTCGATGTACGACCGAGTGTCCTCCAGCCATCCTTCTATTATTCGTGACGCTACTCATGTACTTCATGACATGTTCCACACGTCTACCTTAGATTATGAGGAACCCGAAGGAGTTGACCGTCCTCGAGGTCGACAACGGCGGAACAGGAGTGCGTTTGAGTATATCCGTGGTCTTGGTCGTGCTCGTGCTCGTGGTCGGACATCGTCATCTAGTCGTAGTCAATCTTCATCGTCTGTGAATATGCCCCTGAGAACTGGTACGTTTTGGTTGTTTACATTGCACATAGTTTTAAAGTGTTACTCCTGCCTTCTTAACTGTCTATAATTATATGGTGAATAGGAAGAAACGATGTTGATCAGTTTCCGTACAAGGAAAGGATACCTGCGATCATCATGCCGTACTTGGAAGGGTGGAATGATGTAGTCGGAGATGGTAACTGCGGATTCCGGGTCGTGGCTGATGTTTTTCAAATGGGCGAAGACAACTACGGTTTGGTGCGTCAGTTGATGTACAGCGAAATTGCCTCTAACCGAAATGTTTATCGTCATGTGTACCAGGATGACTTGGATGGCGCTCTGCGGCGTATCCGGTGGGGAGGTGGACCTTGCGGCCAAAATCATTATTTTGACGCGCCCCTAGATCTGTTTTCCGTTGCAAACATTTACAAATGCGCAGTCATGCATTTTGGCCTGGGAGTGCATAGTCAAGCTTATTATCCTTGTACCACGGTTCTCCCTTGGCGGTCGCGTGAGACTGTCACCACATCGGTCAGAGAGCTAGCTATTGCGTTTCTTGGGTCGTCATACAGACATTTCATCCGACTAGACATGTCATCCGATTTTCCAGTGCCACCGATTATACCTCGGTGGTACAACATTCGCACAGCGAGCGTAGAGGGTTGGGATGCGCTATATCATGACCGGATCCACGAATGGAACACCCTAGCTGCATTTTAGTTTTTCATGTTTACATTCTTCCTATGTAATCTTATTTGTACGTTGCTCTTTTAATGAGAACATTAATCTTTTATATTGTATTGCTTACTGCATTCTATATGTTGCATGGGTAAGTTGCGCTGATCCACGAACGGTTATATCAAAATTTAAAAACAGCAATGATAATATGTTTAAGTTGGAAGCTAAAAGAACAATCTAAAATGTTACAAACTTACAACATAATGTCCAATTTAATAAATTAAAACGATAATATTTAAAGTGCTCTATAAATAAAATGACAAAACCATCAGTAATCCCTCCTCGACGACGACTCCCACTGCGCAAGGGTCTGTTCCAGACTATCAACAACAGCTCTCACTGTTGCACTCATGTTGTCCTTCTCAAGAGAGAGTTTCTGTACGTCCTGCATTATCTTTCCCATTCACTGCATACAACAAAAAACAAAAGATGAAATACAATAACAACATATAAAACTTAATTAAAAGACAACAATAAATATAATATGAGACATACCGCTTCCATGGCAGTAGGCGGTGGCACATAATCATCATCGCTGTGGTCGAGATCTGCGATCAACCTCGGGTGCGAATACCGGTTGAACCATTCCATGTAGTAATGGTCACACATGGGAGGAACCCCAGAGGGAGGCCGCTGCAACTCCGCAGTCCATAAGCGGGCCACCATCGGAAACTGGTCCCACGTCCCGGTCATGATATCCGGCCATTGCACGACGTAGTCCCTCGACGATGCAGGTCGGATCGCCTTCATCGGGCATGCCGGGGGAGGAGGGACAACTTGGACAAATCCAAGCTGGCGAAGACAACGCTGGGGCATGTACGCCTCGACGATCTCACGATACTGAATGAGTCCCGTGTACAGGGTCCTGGGTACCCTAACACTAGGGAGCCAAAAGGCATCCAGTTCACTTGCACATAGTTTTAAAATTTAATAACATGAATATAATATGTGCAAATAATAAAATGTAGAAACAATTTATAAACGTTACCTCTAAGGGGGACAGCCTGTCCAGCAATAACCGTATCGATCGGAGGCGGTCAACGGACTTCTTCTCCGAGCGCGGACTCCACGCACAAGCACGCGGCATCCCCTCATCAATAGGAACCGGGTCACGATGTGGTCGCAATGCAGGAAAGTACTCGTATATCCAGGTCTGCAATAGAGTCAGACACCCAGTGATACCTGCCGCGTCAGCCCGACTCGCAAATCCTAGTTGGCGATACAAATACGCCAACGTAGCCGATCCCCAGGAAAACTGTCCTACATTGTCGGGGTCACACGCCTCTACTATGTCGCGTGGCCAGAGCTTGTTTCCGCCGCTCTTATCCGGAAACAAGGTACATCCGAGGAGTAGAAAAACAAAGCACTCAGCTGTGCGTCGTGCGTCCTACGTGCACTGGGGTACAAACACCGCTGCAACACGGATGCGATCTTCACACTTCCGTGTTCCCAAACACCTAGCGCCTCGGTGTACAGTGCAGCCCTGTCCACCGCCAACAACTCCGCCAGCAAATCTGCCTGATCCGCATCAGCCACAGCACAAAGTCGTTTACCCTCAACACGAATCCCAGAATGGCCTCGACGTCATGTAACATGATCGTCATCTCACCGAACGGAAGGTGGAAAGAGTTTGTATCCGGCTGCCATCGCTCAATGAAAGCCGTGATCAGCGTACTGTCAATCTTATCGTGCATGGTGGCAGGAACGTGATTCACCCCAGTGCCCTCCAGTCGCTCGAACATCTCGCTCTCCGCCGGCCAAGCCTCAGCCCATGTACGCAAAAAGCTTCAAGTCTTTTCCCGGGTATGACATTTCAACAACCCCGTAATTGAAGGCCTCTTCTGGTCCTCCCAAATACGGGCAACTATGTGTCCTAGAAAGCTAGGAATCACACTCCCATCAACAGGCCCACCGGGCACCTCACTCCTAACAACCCAAGAATCATTACCGGCCCTCGACCGTTTCCTGCTTGCCCCAGATACAGTGGACGCAGATGATGTGCCAGATCTACTAACAAACCTACCACCCCTACCCTTACGCACCTCCACCATATGTGTCTCGTACATGTCATCAACCCTCTGACTGAATGGACCGTAATCATCATACGGTCCACTGCCATCGTCCACATCCTCATCCTCATCTGCGCCCTCCTCCTGCTCCTCCTCCTGGTCACCCTCCTTAGCATCATCATCGTCATCGTCATCCTCATCCCGACGGTGGATCCGTTCTCTACGAGCTAAGGCCGAAATACCACGGGATCTGACATGTCTATGCCCCGACCTCTCCACTGAATAGCTTCTACTAAGAAGCTCTACATTCTTCCCCGCACCATGACGACCCAGTGAATTATACACAAAATTTTAAAATATATAAACATACAAAAATTTATACGAAAAATAGCTACCACTACCCAAATCAAATAAACTAAAAACATACTAACAAATTAAAATAATAAAGAAATTAACAAAACACTTAAATAAAAATAATAGAATAAAAAATACACTTAGAAAGGAAATAAAACCAACACAGAAGAATACATATAAACATAAATAATTCATTCCCAATTAAAATAAATTAACTAACCAAAAACAATATCAATAATAAAATTTAAAATAAATTTACTAACCAAAAACAATATCAAAGTCACAAAAAAAATATAAAAACAAATCAAAATAGAGAATAAAAATAAAAATGTACAAAAAAAACAAACAAATAATTGTAAACAAAATATAAACATAGAAAAAATACAACAAAATTGAAAAAATTTATAAAAATAAACAACAAAATATAAAAACAATTCAAAAAGATATTACACAAAAAAAAATAAAAAAAAATAAAAACAATATTTTAAAACAAATATATAAAAAAAAAAAGAAAAAAAGGGGGGGGGCGCCTTGGCTGGACGCCCAGCCAGCGGTGGTGGCGCCAGATGCAGACGCCGCCACCAGTGGGCTGGCGCCTGGGCTGGACGCCACAGCCACGGCTGCGGCGCCTTGAATAAACGCCACAACCGTGGCTATGGCGTCCAGCCCAGGCGCCAGCCTACTGGTGGCGGCGTCTGCAGCTGGCGCCACCACCGCTGGCTGGGCGTCCAGCCAGGGCGCCCCACCTCCGTCACGGCGGTTTTCCCTTTTTTTTTTTTTTTTTTTTTTTTTACAAATTGTACCTTGCCTCCTTGGGACCTCCTTCCCTCCGCCGCCGCCGCCAATTCCTTGCCTTGCCGCCTCGACATTGCCGTTTGAAATTTTTTTTTTAGAGAGGTTGAAAGAAGATGAGCGATGAGAGTGTGAGTGTTTTTTTTTTAGGTCAAGGGCAATGTTGTCAAACCAAGTGAATTTTGTGGGCTTTATGTAGTAATTTGTGGGCGATATTTAACAAATCCCAAAAAATGACCCTTTTTTTTGACAATATATATATATTTTTTTTCACGTTGACCTCCATTTCAATCTTAATTAGAAATGAAGTAAAGCTAGCTAATTAATTGAATAAAATTAATTATTCACATGATCATATAAACATTGTTGTCGTATGAAGTTAATTAAAAATGAAGAATTCTAAAGGCAGAAGATTGAGTGGCCTATTATATGAAGAACATAAACTTGGAAGAGTTGTTTACCAGAGAAGGTTTTGTTAGAAAGCATCTTTCTAGAAAGATATATTCGTTTAGGCTTGTTTTTCAAAGGTTAAGCACATAGAACAAGCTAATTATGGAGCTGTTTGAAATTAATTAAGAAGTTATCACGATGAAACTGTTGCATCCCTACTTTTATTTTGCATCCGAATATTTTATATATCACAAATAATACCCTAAGTTACAATTCTTACAAATAATGAAAATCGAAGGTAGTACATTGTACACGTGTATAATTTACCATCATATGGAATAAAATTAGAAAAACAAATCAAACAAACATACATAGACAACATAATGTGATAGTGTGATGGTGGAGGATGCCAGGATGGCTGAATAGGTTAGATCTTCCCTCTCAATTTCAAGAGATCCTAGGATCGATTCTCATCTTATAAATTATTTTGTATAGGTAATTAAACTCATTACCGAGTTTTATTCGTATGGAAGTTCTGGCCAGTCATAGCAACAAGTCCCATTCCAGCAACAAACTGTACAAGGCCAATCGCAGTCATTTGAGTCAGTACAATTGTATTTACAACCGTGGGGCTTATACGCTGGTACGTCTACTGATGGCGTTCCTACATTGTAGGGATCATATGGTGTTGGATATTCGGATGGTGTTCCGACATTGTAAGGATCATATGGTGGTGGTGGTGTTATTATTTCATCATCTTGTTCTTCTTCGGGTGGTGGAGGAGATGGTGCATCTAATAGTGGTTGGTCAGGATAAGTTGATGATTGTGGTGGGGCAGACGACAACGATGGTGGTGTACCGCCATTAGGGGCTGGTGTCGGTGTTGGTGCTAGAGATGGTGGGGATGGCAGAGGGGAATACTTCACATGATGGTGGCCTTTGTTAATGTGATGCCCTTGCTTTTGTCTTGCTTCTGCTATAAATGGAGAAAGAACTGCATGCAACACCAAAAATAAAAAGGTTATAATTTCGTGTTATTTATCCTAATATGAACAATTTAATTATAACAAAAAAACTTTATAATTAGAATTGCTCAATTTTTTGATATCGTTGCATTTGTACAGGGTTAATTTATTACACACGATTATATAAACTGTGCATTGTGCTGGCTAACAATTAATTTGATTGGTCGAGAGAGAAAATTCATACGTATGATTTAAATAAAAGGAGATGTACACGGTGCATCCAATTAATTAAAAGAGGAAGGAGGCACTACTTACATGATGTGAAAGCTACAAGGATGACTACTAGAAAAGATAGCTTGACAAAAGCTCCTTGATCCATGGTTTGTTTGATGCATGCAATTGGGTATTGTAAGGCCATGTAATCCGTTAGTTACTTATACACTGATAAAGAGCCTTCTCGGTTGAGTAAATGATGACTTAATGCATGGGTGGCTCCGATCTTATTGTTTGACTTTTTGAAAGTCAACTTTTGATAAATTTGACAATAAATGTTCAAGGATAAAATTGTTCACAAACCTCACGTGAAATCTTGTTAGATACATTGCAATTAAAATTGAATTTTCAAATGTTTTTTTTTTTAGTGAATTTCTTGGTCGCATTTACGATTAATGAAAATATAGTGAATTTCAAGCAACTATTAACTAACATTAGGAGGTAATAAAAGGAGTTAAATAAAATAAATTTATCACTAATAATATCCATAATATATGAAATCATGGATATTCCTTTTTACAGCAAGTGCTATCAGCACAACAAACCATGCAAGGCCAATCACAGTCTCTTCTATATTTGCAAGGGTAACCACATAAACGTACACGAAAAGGTGTGAATTGATATCCTGGCGGCAAAACTATTGATGGTACTCCCACCTCCGGTCGTGATGGTTCAGCTTCCGTTGGGCCAGTGTTGGTGGAGGCGAAAGTGGCATCGATGGTGTGGATGGTGGAGAAGCCGGTAATGGTATCGATATTGGCGGTGGTGTAGTTGATGATGCACCTGGACTATCACAATGATGATGTTGTTTACTATGAACCATGACTCTTCTATGCTTGGCTTCGATTTTGAATGGAGCAAAACCTATGGTAAAATGAAAAAAGGGACAAATTGAATTTTGAGTATGCTTGAACCATCTCAAACGTAACAATAATAATCATTACACTCACTCCATTGAGGAATCCGAAATAGTAGTTAGTTATCACAATGTCCCAATTCTATAGTTACAGCACGCAATATAATTTTACAAAAATACAAAATTAATATATTTATATGCATGAAAGTTCAAATATATAGAGAAATATCTATCACATACATGTAGGAAGTAATAAATTAGAGACTTACATAATACAGAAGCCAAAAGAACAACCAATAAAGCTAGCTTCACTGAACCTTGCAACATTGTGAATTTTTGATGTCTAAATTAAAGAGTAGATGATAAAGTGATATGCCTAGCTATTAGATTTAAAACTTCAATCCTCATTATATTTTATAATGTAGATCAGACTTAATTAGTACGGAGTACTTCGTTATTAAGTTGAATATTGGGTCAAATTAAGTTAAAGTAGACGTGAAAGTTCTTCAAAATCTATAAATTATGCATGTTACTAGAAATACTCATCAATGCTAGATTGCTAATTGTACTATAATTTACTAAATTTGTAAGCAAATGCACATGTTTCTTGGTTTTTGTGAGAATTGGGTCAAGGATCCAAGTACATACATCTCGAGATCAATCCATTTGAAGGTGCGTGGTAATTACAATAATTTACCGTACATGTACCCCAATTAAGCAAGAGAAGTACAAATAGCCATTATCTCGAATTGGAGGGAGTATATATAATATGTATACTCTGTAGTTACTAGTTACAATATGTATACTCTGTAGTTACTAGTTACGATAGATGGAATATACGGAGTAATACCTTACTCCGTAGTAAGGAACTACTCTAAGCTAGTTAGAATTTAAAAAGCCCCAAAACTTGACCATAAATTTAGGCATACTAATTGACTATACAAAAATAGTCAATGTTCAATAATCTCATACTCCCTCCGTCCCTAAATTACATTCCTAGTTTCCATTTTGGGTATTCTAAAATTACATTTCTCCTTTCCATTTTTACTAATTTTTTTCTTTTCCAAATATCCAAATCAACTCTTTTTTTCTGTTGTATAATTAATGTTTTCTCACTCTTACTGTCCTAATCTCACTCTTATTTTCTCTCTCCATCGTTTTTCTCAAGTTTATACTTCCCATAACTAACCTAATGAATATGATTGGTTCTTAATTTTCAATTAGAAGCATGTTATTGGTTTTTTTTTTTTTTTTTTTTTTTTTTTTTTTTTTTTTGGGGCAAAGGATTGATGACATGGAATCATTAATCTAATTTTGTGTTACTCAAATATATCATTTCGTGTTTTGTATTTCCCATTGAAATATTTCATTATTGTTATTTGTCTTATTCTTCCTCCTTAATTCCCGTGTAATTTTACAAATATAAATATAATTTAGGGATGGAAGGGATAACAAATTTTCACTCAAAAAATATAAATACTTCTATCATATTTAATATTTGGATTCAATTCAATTCATAATCCTTGAAATACAATGACAACATAAAATTTAAAATACTACAAATCCAATTGCTCTCCTAAGGCAAGCCAGGCTAGGATCGATCTTGTGGTTCAATCAATTAGCCTATGAATCTTAAAGCATAGTGATTAATTTTTTGAAACTCTTCAACATAGACAAGTAGTTACCAACCCATAAGTTGTCTGAGTAACTTTGTTTTAGCCTAGCTTTGGCCTTAACCAACCAAGTACCAAAATGGATATCAAAACGTTCCACCACATGATACAAATAAGAATCCTCACCATCATGTACTAATTCGAGGCAAACATCGTTGATGAGCTTAGCAACCTGTTTGTTGCTGCCTAAATAGTGCAGTATCACCCCTTCGTCGTGTAGAAGCTTCACGTCTTCAGTCGATTTAATGAGCTTGCCTAGAAAGAGAAGATATGTTGTCATGTCAGGATAGCATTCGTGGTGGCATTGTTCGTAAGCCACAATGTTCCTTAAGAAGCTGGCTGTGTGATTGTCGATTTGCAAGCTTGAAATCTTAAGTGTTCCTTTCTCGAACCTTACATCTAGAGGTTGGGTGTCACGTAGAACTCGTGTCACCTAGAATGGAAGAGATCAAGCAAGTGTTGAGCATTCCGAGGGTCAATAATTGATTTGATGCTTTGTTGTAGCAATTTAGCTTCTCTAGGCATAAATGGATTGAAGAAGCGGAGAGCAAGCTCTTCTAACGAGCTCTCCTCCATTAATTTTGTCCTAGTTTCGTCGAAGATCTTCTTGAGGACTATCATAGGGAGTTGATTCTCAAGGGCTATAAGGTCGAGGCGAACAGCAGGCAGCATCCATCGTTTGGAGAGGAGGAACGAAGACTTGAAACGATTTTGATTGAGGTCTTGAAAGAGGTCAACTATGAAGCACCCATCAAGAAGCATCATTGTAACAAACTCTTCTTTATTAAGTTCTACATCTTCAGAGTAACAACACCGAGCTTGATGTTCTAATGCCTCTAAACTAGTAACCAATTTATCCAATTCATCCCCAGCTTGTTCACCAAAGTTGATAAGGCGGTTCAAAGAGAACCACTTGAGCTTGCAAATTAGGCGAGCCATGATGGTAGGGACCTATGGATACAAAATGAGGCTCGTATGCTTTAGGCTCAATCTGTCGTAATTTTGCTGGGACGCGGTAGATGCTGGTACTGAAACTGGGCAGCATATAATCTTTCAGCTTCCGCTGCTGCATTGCCTTCAGTTTCTCCTCCAGAATGTCAGTCAAGTTCGCGCTGTTGCCTGCAACATAACGTTTATCAGGTAACAGAGGTTTTGAGCATAATTGCCTAGCATAGGCAGAGGAAAAGCTTATGAAATAGTGAAATTGTAGAGATTTAGATTTGTTCCTAAGCATTCTTTTTGACTTTTGATAGATATTATATTGTTGTGTGTTATACAAATGAGGGGAAATGAAACAGAGCTAATTTAAAGAGCAAATAAGATCAAAAGACTGAAATGAATGTAAAGGTGATTTAAGCCTTTTTTCTTGAATGGGGTTAAATTTTGATAACTCTAAGTCTCTAACTACATGTAGGACTTTGATGTAAATGTAGTACCAAATTTAGAAGGAGTAGAAGACTTTGTAGAAATAAATTAGACTTCAAAATTATTAAATGTCCTAATAAGACATGTTAGCAATAACTCGTTCTTGACTTAGGGATATGAATTGAACATGTACGCTAATTATTACTACTCCGTAGTCCGTACTCTATATCATAGTTTAAATTGACCTAAAGTGATGCTTTGACTTTATCAAGGGTCTGTTTAATTCAAGTTATCGAGCTTACTTTGTTCAATTGGTCTTGGCTGCACTCTAGTGCAGCTAAGATAGCTACAACAAGTGAAGCTCAAAACGCGCGGCCCAAAAAAAATGAACATTTAGTTGAAAAATATGAACATGAAAAAAATGAACATATAAAAACAAAAAATGAACACGTAAAAAAAATGAACATTTAATACTAAAAAGTGAACATGTTACAAGAAAATGATAATTTATTAAAAATGAATCTAATTATCATATAATCATAAATTTGCTAGACCACGACCTTATAAATGAAAATTTAGTTAGAAAAATGAACACATAAAAAAAAAAAAAGAATATTCAGTAATAAAAATGAACATTCAGTAATAAAAAGTGAACATGTCAAAAAAAAGAAATGAACATTTAGTATATTAGAAATGAACCTTTATCATACAATCATAAAATTGGGATCATATACATTGGAAATTCTCCAACTTAAAGGCAAATTCATTGTACATATCATATACTTCTTCATCACTTCTTAGTTGTTTCTTCACTAATTCAGAGTCTTTGTCTTCTACAAATACAATTAATCTATACTCACTAAAATATAACAAATAATCAGAATTTTCATAATCATCACAAAATATCTTCATAATAATTATTTAGAATGTTTGTAATATATATAATCATCAATACAATACTTAAAAATATAAATAATATTCACTCTATATGTCATATGTGTTCATAATCAATAACAGATATGCTCGTAAAGAATAACGAAACATATATATTCATAATAAATTGTTCAGATTTTCAACATAAATGTTCATATAGTTTAACTTTCAATGTATTATATTTTACTTTCAACCTAATAAAAATGAACATTTAGTATTAAAAAATGAACACTTATAAAGTGAATATGTAACAAAAAGTTATGAACATTTAGGATATTAAAATGAACATGATTTTCATAAAGGTTCAAATTCATTGTACATAATTATTAATGAAAAATAAAGATAAAATAAATTGTCGAAATATGTTCATTTTTT